ATGCCCAACTGTAAATAAAAAGCCTCTGTATATACGCTTACAATTCAGAGGCGATGCTCCGGGTGAAATGCTAAGACTCAAGTTAAGCAGATCAATTCAAAGGACTTTTAATGCGGGTAAACTACAACTAGTATTCTCCACACGACCAATGATCACTCCGAGGTTGAAAGATAAATTACCTAGACTAGCCACTTCGTTCTGTATCTATCAATTCAACTGCTCCTGTGGAGCAAGTTACATTGGCAGATGTTCTAGGAATTTGTACATTCGGGCTCGTGAGCACCTACCCGTGTGGTTAAGCAAAGGTGTAGTCAAGACGGTTAACAGCTCCATCTTAGACCATCTAGTTCAGACAGGACATACAGCCAACATGGAGCAATCTTTCGCAATAATCTATCGTGTTAACAGCATTCTACCTAATTCCGTCAGACTGCGAATCCTGCAGACGGCTGAAGCAATTGCTATTCGGATCAAAAAGCCAGAGCTTTGCATCCAAAAGAAGTATGTTCAGCCACTCCTTTTACCCTGGCCAACTTTAGGGCCAACTAGTTAATAATCAATTTTATAATATGGTGACGTAATTTGATTAATCTTCATTTTATGTCCCAAACTTATTATTATTATTATTGTTATTATTATTATCTTTACGACTGTGATTATCATTGTTATTATTATTATTATCATTATTATTATTATCACCACATTTGATAACCGTTTTGAGGAATTTATTCAATATCCACCCCTAAATCTACTATATCTGACCTAATTCACATATTATGTAATTTCCGGTTTTTATCCCATAAATTTTTTCTCTCATCCCATGTTGACCATATTTATTTGGATTATTTATCGCACAATTTCATTTCACTTATAAACTGATTCAAGTTAACACTTTATATTAGTCAGCTAGCTTCAACATTAACAATCCGATTTGATTTTATATAACAAATAACAATTCTTGATTTACATATCACAAATTCCAAATGATGTACTCTGCCTTAAATCTGGCCAATTCTATGGATTATTAATTTGGATTTATAATTGTAGAACCTGATGAGAAATTATTGAAAAGAATATTCTTCGTTCATTCAATTGTGTTTTAATATAATGGGAATATTTCAGAGATTAAAATAGATTTAGATCAAATTTAGTAGAAAATGGTGATGAATTTTAATCTGTCCATGAACAAATGAACCACAGCCTGAGAATCTTTAATTTCTAACAAGCCATTAAACTAGGATGCTCAGTAATAAGAAATATACACTTAAAAAAGTTGACTGACTACTCGAATCAAGTTTGTTAGGTTAAACTATAATATACGACGACCTTGGGTGACTTATCAAATCAGGAGACGCTGACAAGTTATAAAATAGCTAACAATAGAAGATAGTAATAGTGGAATAATCGCTTTAAATAACCCTTACAAGTCAAACTATCTCTTGTAGTAACAAAAAAGACAAGTTCACACTATATATATATATATATATATATATATATATATATATATATAGAGAGAGAGAGAGAGAGAGAGGTTATCACCCTATAAAGCTTTCATCACCAACTAAACATCAAGTATAATGCGAAAAGGTTAGGGTTAGGTATTAATGGTTTAATTGGAGTTTTGAGTTACGCTTAGAAAATGGGGTCAAGGTTTTCAACACGAACTGAAATGAGCTATAATCTATTGCTTTATCACCTTACTGTGTAAAACCTTGAAAAACTTAGGGTTGGGTTTTAGAGTAAGATTAAGAAAGGGTGAATACTTGAACTATATCACGTACATTAACATAATGTTCCTTACGAGTACGCATGTTATATAATTTAGCTTGAGCCCCATCTGAAATTAAGATTTTGGTTGTATAATAGATATTTTTATTTATTTCAAATATTTTAAGAACCAAACACTGTTAATTTGGTGAATAACGACATGCAAGTTATGTATCACTTCACTTTAAACTTCGCGTAAAATATATGAAGTGTTATCATGTAATGAACGACAACATCAGTGGGGACAACCAGATGTATAAGTACAAAAATACAGAATCTCAGAAAAATCTAAGAACGATACAGTAAATACTTCATTTGCAAAATGTCAATCAATTGTCTCAGACTTTGTTGTTCCTTGGTTTCTACACCAATCACTCTCTGTTCTAACTCTTTTCTCTTCGACCGTATTAAACTTCTGTCGCCAGGCATTTCACTCTTGATTGGTGATATATACTACTGATATCTGTCGATATCGGTAGCACATACGACAATCTCAATTCTGATTGGTCGACTTAAGTGTTTCAGTATATCATACATTTACAGCATGTTAACTAGAAACATAAAGTGAGACTTATGTAAAATTTTCAGTAACCTTCCATTAGTAAATCCAATATAATAATGTATAGTATAGGAGGAAGTTATGAAAATTATTGAGTTTGATTATTTTCCATTAATCCGTTCATGCAAAACTAAAAGTTTTTGCTTATCATTTAATATAATCAATTTACTACTGATAGATCAATTATTACTATTATTATTGAAATAGAATTGTTGCACAAGTGAATTAAGAAAAATCTTTGAATTTCCTCAACACTTTATAAATGACCGACATTTTGAAGTGTACTTTCATTTATTTGTTGTTTAAAAGTGGTGATTGTTAAAATGTGTATAGTCTATACTTATTACATATATTTACTATTCAATAGTAATCAAATGTTTACCCTGTCAAACAATGAAAGTTAATATTTTAAAAACGGTATTACAGCTTTCCAGCTTGTACTTTAAATATAATAAACGACTCAAAAAACGTGTTTATTTATTTATAGTCACAACATTAGTGTGGATAAATAAAAATGTAAACTAGTGAAACAGTTAACTGGGGGGATGTAACATTCTAAGTCATTGGAAAACATGTATACATTTTTTCGCAATTCCTCCGGACATTCCAAATTACTGGGGTTCTTTTAGATTATTTGAAAAAAATTACTCACTTAGGAATCTTTATCACCAGTAAAACAAGTTCTTAATAACTCATTTAACTATTTTTCGACATCATTTGAAAGACATTTATATTGACAAGTAGACTTGGAGATCGATAATGTTACTTTATTGAAATCTAATTAATTTGAACACACCTTTTTACTAGTTCCAAACTGAATAAGAAAGTTAAATGAACAATAAACAGTTACAATCTGATCCGATGCATTTTATGCATCAACTTACTAAGCTATTTCATCGATGTGCAATCTTAATACACTAATCACGTGGCATCTCTTAAAAACTGAACTTGAACTTGGTAACTGAAAATAACTGTAAAAGGATTGGAGTTTACCTAGACATTTACAGTCTAGCGTATGTCGTTTCAAAGATACCAGTTACACTGTAACTATCTACTTCTATCTTCAACTAACTTCAATGACCATCTACGAAAACCGTATGTAAAAAATGTTAAATTTTACCATAAGTTTTCATTCGTTGAGTTTTCTACACAGATTTCAACAGTTACAAACATCAAATCTTATATACATAACTTTATAATGGAACGAGTATCATAAAATCTAGGACTGGTTTTCCAAATTATTACTAATATTATTATTTTGTATAATTACTAAGTAACCAGATTATTATGTACGTATACTGCATTTATCTTAAGCTTTTAGTTGGCCCACTAACTGCTGTTTTACAGTTTACTAAACCTGATTTCCTGCCGGTCTATTATTTAAAATCTTTTCTAGTCTCAAAAAATTTGGGCTTGTTTGTGTACAACTGTCATTTTACGTAAACATAATCTATTGGAAATATAGCATATAGTAACAGCTGGTTGCTCACTTTTAGAAGCTAGCAGACACTAGACCAATAGGAACTTAGCTGTCCAGTAGTATAGTTTGTCAATTTGCGGACACTAGACTATCAAGAAAATAGTAGATATGAAGTAGACCATATTAGAATTACAATTGTGATCGTAATCTGTGTCAGCCATCACAAGGCGTAATAGGTACTTAACGTTTCTGTCAAGTAACTCAAATGCAACAGTCAATATGTAGAGATGAAATATTAATCGAAGTACACGAACCTACAACTTTGAGCTGCAAGTTGGAATCGTTCCACTGACAAAATGTGTGACTTAAAGCTAACTAAACAAAATTCTGCTCAGCGTATTTCATATGTAACTAGCATGAGAGTCCAGAACGCGATTTTTGACAAATTTTTATTGTTGATAATAACACTGATGTTCGAACTCAGTATCTCTCGCTAGATTGATCGGCGGCCTGCTTGAACATCTGGGCTACTTGTTCCTCCCATCTAGATATTTCGTCAAGTTATCCGTTTTCTTGTTTGTTTTAACACACTATTATGTCTATTGAACTCACAACCTATTCAGGCGCGTTTACGAAAAGTTTACAACCTTTCGCTGTACGGATTACAAAAAGGTACAACCAGAGACATCATGGTGGCTTACAATATGCATTGAAACGAATGAACATTATTCAGATGTCGATTATCGAACTCCTAACATCTAACTGGCCATCACTCAATATTTATCGTCAGGATCGATCAAGATATAAGAAAAAGAAACTTGTTGAAATACTTTATGCTGAGAATTCAATAGTGTACCACAAATATAATGTTGAATAAAGCTTATAATAACAATATAGAAATCCCAGTATGTAGCATCTAGATAGCCACTACTTTGTTCAGTGGATATGATGGTATTAGTAATGGTTAGTAACTTTCCATTATTGATATTATGAACCATAAACTATACTGTTTCTAATTCTTATCAATTATTTAATTTTCAGAATGGAAAATTGTGGAGATTGTAGTAATTTTAATCGTTGAATTCATGAGCCAATCTAAATTAGATCACCATTGAAAACCTGGAAGCACTGGACGGCCGTTTTGTCCTAGTTCTAGGATTTTATAGTGGTCTAGCTTAGATCAGATCATGAATTCAACTATTAAAATTATTTTATTAAAAGTCAATATACAACACACGATTGATAATAACTTACGACTTGATATCTTCTAAAGCAATTAATTTACCGCCTTGTTCTAGGTGCAACTCATCTCTTTCGACTAATGATAACATGAGAGAATTGTTTAGACCTGACAGAATAGAATAGTGGGATCAGGAATATTAGATCAATAATACAAGATAATAATACAAAATAAACTAAACGATTCATTTTCAATAATTTAATTTGAACCGCTTGAGATCAATTTGAAGTATTTACCTCGTGATCATTTTTATTACAGTCTGTTATATACTAATAATTATGTTAAATTTAATTAAATGTCATTTATAATGATAAATAAGTTTGTATTGAAATACTGGATTATTACATAAAAAAAAAATCATTAAGTAAGAACTCTAATGCATAAATGCCATACAATAGTTGTACAGTAATATAATATCCCTTTAAATACTAGCATGTATTATGTGACTATATATTTAGGGTGAGTTTGTGTGTATTCTCTGATTAATAGATTACTTATCGACATTTTTTTTTATAGATTATCCAACAAGGTAATAAACTATGAACAAGCAAAATAAAAAACCAAACAGCTTATTAGTTTGTATTTGAATTAACGAAATCCACTTAATAGTGTGCCTCACTGGTTATTGCTCTCTTTCAGGTCAATATACATATGGCATTAGTATAATGTCTGACGAGTTCATTTATCCAATGATTTTCGAAGATTTCCATGATAATATAACTAGTAATAATGTTGAGTGGTTTAAATTTAAATATCAAAGGGATAAGTTTCTTTCATGAATCTTCTATAACTTCCATCTAAGCATTACTAATATACACAAAAGATTGATGGCAAATTTCTGGCTGGTTGCACTTCAATTTTCTTCAAACTGACTCGAATCTGTCATACTGTTTTACAAACTGATTTACTAAGTTCTATCTAAGCTGAAATTCGTCCAGAATCTCGACCTGTAGCTTCCCGATTGGACGAATAGTGAAAAACACTGCATACGGATTAGATGATTGTAATGATGATTTTGTTTTTGCTAAAAATATATAAATACCCGAGTGTTTTGTACCATACTTGACACTGGTTGGAATAAGATTCGTTTTCACTTGTTTTTTTCTTCTAACTTGAGACTTGGATGGTTCAAGTGTTCGAGTGCTCAAGTTGTGCGCAGTATAGCAAAACTTCAAGTTCTAGATATAACACTAATATATAATGCATGCAAAAATGCTAATTATTTAGTTGACAAATTAATTCGTTTGAAATTTACTAATCAGTAATTAATAGAGACTGATCAGTTTTATTCGACCATAAAATGCTATGAATCATTACAAACTTATAAAATCTGATATTAATTTTCCTAAATATTTTCCAGTATCGACTCAATGTACCGTCATTAAGAATGTTTATTTGATGTTAAGATAGTTTTTAATAATAAATTTTTCAACAATTTAGACTACTGAATTCCAGTCTATCATACAATATTCAAAATGAGAGTAAATACAGTCAAAAGTATTGTTCTCACTTTCGATTCTAGAATGCAAATCATTCATAATAACTTTCAATTGAGAAATAGAGAATTGAATTAATTCTTCTTTGGATATTTGAAACTTCCTGAAATCAACTCGAAGCTGATAGGTTGAAGAAAATAAGTGGGGGAAATTATTATTAATTTACTTTGGAGTATAGGAATATATGACATCAATTTGTATGAAAAATTATAAATTAACTGTTAATAAAACTTGGATAAAAATACCCTTTTTAGTAATGTATATTTTCTAGTCAACAGAAATTTAGTTGGATCCAGCAGTCAATAAACAAACATAGATGTGAAGTCTTCAGGATGTGTTAAATATTTAGTAAGTCATATGCAAATAATGACTAGAAAATTCAGCAGGACTATACTTTATAGACGAGTCAATTCGATCTAGGATAGTAACTTCTGGATTTGGGTTAAATGATATTTTGACATTCTAGCTGCCAGTTTGTGATGAAAATTACTACGTAAATTCTAAACTCTGACTTCTAACTCTTAGTTCTAATTCCTTACACCATTTTATTCCTAGTAGGTGGTCGACGTTTCTCAAGGTCACTTTGACATGACTCAAAGGTTTTCGATAAAGTACAGTCGTACCAAAGATCCATTTAATTAAAATGCGCAAAACACTAATATTTCCTTAACTTAATAAAAGGTTATATAATAAATTTTACAGTAGAATTGTAAAAGATACTACATAATCGTTGAGTGAAATGTAGACATGTTAAACTTAATTACTTACATAATGAAGAATAATTTTAATCGTGGTTAATAAGAAACTCAGTCAAAAAACGTAATGGTCTTAGACTTTGTACGTCACTACAAATATTTAATTCATCCCTAAAATAAATATTAGTACAAACAATAACGATCAATTTGATGGAACCAAAATATGCAGTTTAATGATCATTGAAGTTAGAGGAATCTTCTGATTTGCGATTGTATTTAAGATGAGCATAACATAAACTGATGAAATTCACTAAGTAGAGCTGACTAGGGTTTAATTGATTACAATCTAGGATGGAGTGGTCATGGGAATATAAGATTATCAATTAGAAGCTCAATGTTTAGAGTTCGATAAAGAATCATAGTTGGTGGCCTATGCTTTTCAGCAAGGGGGCAACAGGCGTAAGTAAGTAAGTAATCAAATAAATAAAGCATGGGAAACAAAACGTTGATACTTTTAAAGCGAACCCATTATTCTATCAATTACAAGACTTACTAAACGATTTCCAATTAGCCTGTTAATTAATAATATGATTGATGGTTAGGCTTCATAAATCTTTAATCATTTTTTTGCGTGTAACACGATTATGTTTATCGATAAATTGATTTAATTAATTTAACAGTTTCCACCAATATTTAATCTACATTTCTCATGTACACTTATGAATCCATTTTATCTCACTGAACACAACGAACATGTATGAACTATTTGGCAAGAAAAAACAAACAATATCCATCCCTGTTAACGCCTATTGCGCAGAAACAAGGTAACTAAAATTCTTTCCATAACTTTTGTTCAACATTCTTTTTCTCCTATTCTATTAGCATTAGTCTTTTTAAAGTGTAAACAATTCACTATGTCAACTAACAATAGATTATATTACTTTTAAAAGAAGATTTTAATGGAATAAAGTACACGAAAATATTTTTTTCATCTTTTCGATTTGTTTAAATTCACATTATAAGAAATTGTAATTGGAAACTAGTAGGAATGCTAGAATCACATAAATTTTATTTTAATCAGAATAATGTTGATAATTGTTCAGTATAAAGATAGTTAACATTACAAAACTGTTAGAATATTTATCAGAAGGGATTGTGTGAAGAATTTAGAAATTTCACTGGTTGAAATCATGAATCAATTGAAGCTAGACCACCATGGAAAACCTGGAAGCACTGGACGGCCGGTTCGTCCTAGTATGGGACTCCTCAGCAGTGCGCATCCACGATCGCGCCCCCCACGAGATTCTAAGCCAGGACCTATCAGTCTCACGCCAGGCGCTTAACCAACTAGACCACTGAGCCGGCTACCAACGCTGTTAATGTCCAACATCAACCAATCCACGAAGTTGCGCCACCGTACACCATTGTCTTCAGTGAGCAGATATCTCACAACAGACCTGGTTGGACTCCACTGGTAACGGCGCGAGACTGACAGGTCCTGGGTTCGAATTTCGCGAGGAGCGGGATCGTGGATGCGCACTGCTGAGGAGTCCCATGCTAGGACGAAACGGTCGTCCAGTGCTTCCAGGTTTTCATGGTGGTCTAGCTTTAATTTATTCATGATTTCAACCAGTGATATTAGAATATTTGTGTGATTTTATAATCCATGCTGAATATGCAATGGATGAAGCATTCTGAATGTATGATAGTAAAATTCATCACACAGTATTGTTATATCCCGATGAGAATGATGAATAGTAACTGTTAGGATCTATTTATAGGCTAACACTAAACGCATATTTTCATTGTATAATTGCTAAGTAACTAAACTATTCATATTCCTGTCCCTCTTATTATAAGGCTTTATTTTGATCTATTAACTATTATTATGTGATCTACCATTCTTGAGTTATGTCCAGTCTATCAATTACTATCTCCCACATTCACAGCCACTTTTGGCTAATCTTGTACTAATGTTATTTTCTATTTTATGGTAAGATGTGATCTGGTTGGTTTTTGTATAAACCCAGTATGTTTGAAACACATGATCCATATCGCAAAGGTTGAGATTGGTGTTCTGGACTCAACAGGCAAAGCTAGACAGTAAACAGGACCGATATAGTCTGTAGACTGCTCGTACAGGTTTTATGCGTCATTGGTCCGATCCATAAATCACTGTTATCTAATTATCAGTATCATTACGTTATACATTGATTGAGGCACAAACCCACAAGTTATGACAAATATGAATATAAATGTAAGTACAAATTACTTATGGTATGTTTATTTCTATTTGCCAATTATATATATATATATATATATATATATATATATATATATATATAACCTTGAAACACCTTTAAAAGAGACAGTACATTGACTTTTACATGTGAAATACAGATAAAAGATAAGAACGATTGCCTAATCCGTTGAAAACAGAATTCTAATCTGATATATCTTGATCATACTATATATTGGAAAGTTGTTATAGCCGTGGAATTTATTGCATATTTCGTGTGGAACTATTTCACGGAAAATTCAAACCTAGTTAATTGATTCGGAGAAAAACAACTGAACTAGTTTTATTGAGTAGCGATTTGTGATTAAAATAAAAGATAATATGAAAGCTCTTTCATAGCTTCAGGCAGAAAGGTTTTTCAAAACAGATCTTATTACAACAGAATTAATCGAATTAACTTTATCATATATCACATCCTAAGAATAAATGTTAGCTGTCAAAATTCATCAGCCCAGTTGACAACCGTGCAAAAATTCATGTGGTTTATGTTTTTTGGATTCAGTGCCAATAGTAATGCAGATGTAAGTATACTTAACTGATGACATGAAGCTCTAAAAAAATAAGCGTCTCTGACCATACCACTAACGACTATTCCGAAAACAAAATATTAAAATTTTTGATTGATAACCATTATTTGCAGTGTTGTTGAGTAGAAATCTTAACTTATGCGTCTATGATAATTTGATACCATAAAGAGCAATGTTATTGTAATTTAAACCTTAATTATTATGTTACTAAAAAATCCCCAAAGTTCATAAGCTTTATTAGATTTATAGATTGTTTATAGAAGTGAAATGCAGGACATGAGTTTTATCCTGTTGAGACTTGTCAGTTATATGTACCTGAATATCAATATTGATGTTTATACAGGGACTTGGAAATAATAATTTTTTGTTTCAATAAACAATACAAATGGTGGTATCAAAGGATTACGCACAGGATACATATTAACCAGAAGGGAATGATCAGAATTTATTCCTAAATATCAGAAACAGGAAAACTTTAATCATACGAAAAATCCATCGTTTGAGTTTCGAAAAATTTATTGTCTATGTAGTGTTCACTTAATGAACGCAGATATTTGAATGGTGATGATCGTATTACATTAATAACATAGGCAATATAAATATTACAAAGTATTGAATGAAATAATAAGTCTACAACATGACATATTCTTTTCGTAAATAAAAAACAACCACACACAAGAAATATTTCTTAGTAATCAGTCCCACCCGATTATCGATTAATTAGGCGTGGATTAAATAAATCCTGATGAAGATTTTATACAGGAATCAATATGTATTAAGTGAAAAACCGAAATCAATCATTAATCTTATATCGTAACAAAAAATATGCTATAAATAAAATTGATAAACATTGCCAGAAAAGTAGACAAGGAAATAAAGTTATGAATCGGTTTAAGTTAGACATTAACATCGTTAGACGCCGACTCAGTGGTCTAGAGGTTATGCGTTCACGCACGAGACGGAAGGTCTTAGATTTCGAGTCTCGCGTGTGGGGTCGTGGATGAACACTGTTGAGGAGTCCCATACTAGGACGAAATGAGTATCCAGTGTTTCTAGGATTTTAATGGTGGTATAACATTAATCGGTTCATGATCTCGATTGAAATAAAATTTGTTTAGCAGAGTTTTTAACAAGCAAACCTGATACAAAAGTAGAGATTTTGAGATTCCTCTATCTAGTGAATGAGAAAAATATTGAAATATTCCAGTAAAAACAGAAACATTGGCCTGAAATTCCGTAAGATTAACTTATCTATTCAGAAAATCTTGTCTTCCAAGTCAATTATACTTAACTAGAACAAAAAACAATTGTATAAATATTCGTAACAGAAAAATGAATATTATTGTTCAAGTACACGAATTATAACACCTGAACACGCTTTCTTACTTCTTTCTACTTTCGAGAGTGTTAATAAAGATGCATAAATAAATCACAAATTTATAAAAGTAAAATGCATTTACACTTAAAATACTTTTATTTAAATCAAACTTTAACTACTTGATAGTTTAACAGTCATTTCCTATCTAAAATGCAGTTTTTTTTACATCATTTATACCCTAATGTTTAATCATTCGATATGTATTTCAACGTATTACGCAACAGTTATAAGATATATGAAATGTAAGCAAATATGGATTGTGGATAGCAGTGGAATCTAGGAGGCGTGTTTCGTCCTATTTAGGACTCGTCAGCTGGATGTGATTGCATCTGAGAGTTGATGTTCACTCAGAGATGCAGGTAAATCCAGCTGACAAGTTCGTAATAGGAAGAAACGCGCTTCCTGGATTCCCTTGATAGCGACCATCCATTTTTGCTTATAATATCGAGTCAATACGCACAGTATGCATATATGCCAGTAAGAGACTGATCAATTACAGTCCTAAATATCAATAGGAAGATTCAAGTAAACAATACCAAGTGAATTAATATGAAATGTGGTTTTTAAAATAGAGCAAATACTCATTCAAATGTTTGTCTGTAATAAAAATAATCTATCGGATAAATATAAATACGCTACGATTGATCAGATTAAACAAATCAACATTGAAAACTAGATTTCCATAAATATAATATACATGACAAATTTCCCTATACGTTAACCATAACTTAAAATACAAAAGCGTGCCAAAAAGTTAAGAATATATCTACCCAATCCTTCTAACACGTTAAAATGATTCATTTTTGATCAATTATTTAGACAACTAAGAATTATAAATTGTCTCCAACGATAATGAAATGTAATGAATGTGGAAAGTCTAACAGGTATCCTTTAACCATTTAACTATAATAAATAATTAAGGAAATAATAATTCTACTCTGATTGACGTTGGAGAACTAGCAATCGACCAATATATGGCTTAACTCAAACAACTACAAAGTCATATATAAGAACTTTCATCTAAATTTGGACTAATAGTTTCACAGTAATTGCGCGCTCTGTCAACATAAGACATTAGGGAGGAAAAATATATTTGTAGAATCTCAGACACTGAATTTGAAGTCAATCCAACATTACGCCTGGCAATCTGGTTCAACGTTTTTCAAGGAAATATAATCAAACATCTAAATTATGAATACAAACAAGTACGTGTTTCTCCGGTTAATTGTATGCTAAATTGGTCATCCAATCATGTTAAAAATGTTGAAAGTAAGTACTTGCTGTAGTATGTATGAGACTATCTGATGTGCAACGAGTGTTTTGAGATAACAGATTGTGTGTATTTGTAAGTGGATGTAAGGTTTGAGAAAAAATTTCATGGAGTATTTATAACCTCTAATATATAAAGTCAGTATGAACAATCATTTATTTCACATCTGGTTTAATACTTTTGTGACTTAACTACATTTCCATCCTAACGTGTTTATAAATGAACAGAAGGATTAAACTATTTATTCATTTGTAACTGCAGTAAATCATATGATATCCTATCCAACTTCATTTTACTGTTCTCGATATTTAGTCCGTTTTTCAGATTACAATTATTATAAACTTACCGTTATTTCACATCATAGTTAACTCTTTAGTCGAATAGTCAACTTTTTGATTATTTAACACTACAATCAACACAATATCACATTGATAAGTTCTATTACAGAAAAAAAGTCTTTACGGTTTTTTCGTCAATCACAATTATCTCATTGAATTCAATTTTCTTCGTTTAGTATTTTACGAAAAAAGTACATTTCTGAACCAAAATACTAAAGATTTCCATCTTTCCTTTTGGAAACTCTATAACTGATTATGCAGATAATAAGTTAAGTGCAGGTTTCTAGAACTATTATTGATCATAGCTTCATGCCTAAATCATATCTTATACTTCGGTGAATCTTAACACATTAGGTACTACTGAACAACCTATGAATATTTAAACAGTAATCCCATTAAAATTAGCGAAAACTTCTAGGTTGACAATTTTATTTAGAAGAAACCCAAATAAAATCAAAATAACATTTTAGAGATAGGAAAACGCAATACCAATATTTTAGGAAACGATGGATGGAGGCTGTAATCATGGACACGCATCTCAACCTATTCAGGATTTATCAGCTGAATGTACATCAATCTTTATCAATGAGAAGAACTAAACAACCAATATATATATATATATATATATATATATATATATATATATATATATATATATATATATATATATATATATATATAAAATAAAATCAGAATATCAATGTGTTTAACAATTAAAATAAAAAGAAACCACTTTTAATGTAATCATGAAATAGTTGACTCACTAATGTTGCTATATTTGGAGTTATCGATGAAATCTTTGTACGTTCAACTTCTGCTTGCATTGCGGATATTTTTGGGACCTACAATAAGGAAAATTTCAACGAATCAACATTATCAAAACACAAGTTACGTAATTATAAATTGATTTGTATGTATCCATATGCATGTAATCAAGTGAATATTTACTGTTAATTTTGACAAAAAAGACTCTGGATAAGAATTAAATCGTAGATTTTAATTATATATTTCAATGCTATACAACTAAATTTGGTAAATTAAGTACACATAAGATGCTTTAATATAAATTCAATAAAATAAATGATTCATTATTATTTAGAAGTTCCAATTAAGTATTGTTCATAGGTTTTGACAAAGGTTAGATAATAATAACCAATCTTAGTAGGCAATTTATTATCATTTAATATAGCTAAAATAATATAGTTTTTAGTGGCCCGGGATCTGACTTCAAGTACGATCGTTTCTGACAGCTAGTCAGATATACACACCGTCAACCCTCGTACATAATCATCGACTTAAATCGCGTTAGTCAATAACACAGTTAAACAAGTCAAATACGAGAATGAATTTCGATTAGGTATATTTCATACAATCGTTGATCCAGACAAAATATCTTAGAAGCGAAGCGAAATGATTCGCGGTGGAGTTGGCTCACATGTATGTATATCTGAATAGCAATCAGAAACGATCTTACTTGAAGTCAGATCCCGGGCCACTAAAAGTTATTTTCAAGTACCAAATAAATTATTCAAAGAAATAGTTAGTGAAATGAAAATGTAAAAAATTTAAAGGAATTTCACATTATTCATGTAAAATCTAGATATGTAGGCTGAAGTTTTTAAACGGTCACAGTTATATGTAGCTAAATATTAGGGAACCACAACAACAGCATTGATAAACAATACACCTATTGAAAAACTAAGATGACTCTTGACTCAGACTATAATGAAATTAATTAACTAATACCTCTACAGTACGTATAAATTATTTGATCATATTTTGTTCTCTTAACGGTGAGACTATAATTTATGGACGGCCTTTGAGCGACGCCAAAGTGAACATTGAAAATGTTCACCTATTAACTAATAATAAATATGGGTTATAAATCAGTGTGAGGAATTACAATTAGAATTAACCGTCAATGGTTAGGCCTCAACATACATAAAGGGAAAACCAAGGTCCTCAAACACAACACGGAGAACAGCAACCCAATCACTCTTGATGGCGAAACTCTGGAAGACGTGGAATCCTTCACATACCTGGGAAGCATCGTCGATAAACAAGGAGGTTCAGATGCAGATGTCAAGGCGAGGATTGGCAAAGCTAGAGCGGCATTCCTTCAACTGAAGAACATATGGAACTCAAAACAACTTTCAACCAATATCAAAGTCAGAATCTTCAATACGAACGTCAAGGCAGTTCTACTGTACGGAGCTGAAACTTGGAGAACTACAACAACCACCATCAAGAAGGTACAGGTATTTATTAATAGCTGTCTACACATGATACTCAACATCCATTGGCCGGATACCATCAGCAACAGCCTTTTGTGGGAGAGAACCAACCAGCTTCCAGCGGAAGAGGAAATTAGGAAAAGACAATGGAAATGGATAGGACATACATTGAGGAAATCATCAAACTGCATTACGAGACAAGCGCTAACTTGGAATCCCGAAGGGAAGCGGAAAAGAGGAAGGCCAAAGAACACATTACGTCGGGAAATAGAAGCAGATATGAAAAAGATGAATAAGAACTGGAAAGAGCTTGAAAGGATTGCCCAGGACAGGGTTGGATGGAGAATGCTGGTGAGCGGCCTATGCTCCTTCACGAGGAGTAACAGGCGTAAGTAAGTAAGTAAGTAAGTAAGTAAGTAAGTCAATGGTTAGGGTTACAAATTAGATTTAGGCTTTTTATCATAAAAATTCCAAAACGCTATTTAGCCAAATGGATGATTGAATTTCGCACCAAAATCCAAGACCTGTTATCTTATATCTTATTGGTTCATTCATAAATTATAGTCTCACCCTTTTAACTGTTTTAATCATTTGTACTTATTTATTCGAATGGTCAAAAAATATACATTCAGAACATTGTTTATGAATATAACATCAACTGTATATTATCTTCAGGCTGGAATATAATATTCATATTTCAAATAGTTTAAATTACATCAATTATAACCTTATCGACATTTTTTTTCTCACCCTAAACTATAGTATTTTGAAATTTTATTGTAACTAATGCATCATATCACCTATTTTGCGCCAAATTGAATATACATTAGCTTAACGTTCATTTGTAAATCGGGATTTTGGCTGTGACGATCGGTTAATAGTTAAATCTTAGATGATCAAAATAAATAAGATGACTGTTTCAGTTTTAACAACATACTAATTTATTACTTAGTAAAAAACATAAATACTTACAAAACTTGCTTATCTTAAGGTAACAACAAAGCTATTTTGCATGTACTATAGATTACCTAACAAAGTACTGTAGACTGATGAGATTGGACAACAAGACGGATTATTATTGATCAAAAAAGGATTAATCTGTTATTCAGCTATTAAAAAGAAATCAAACCACTCTGGTGAAACACTTAAATTATTACAGATATTATTATTACAAATATTAAGCAAGGTAAGGTATCTCTTACAACATATATGAGGTATTAGTATAATTGATTTAGACTAACATACACAGATACTACTTAATACATTCAATTAGATAGCTTTCGAAAGTGCGACTGAATTGCTGTAACACACAATCATTTACATTAAATACAGTCATCACAAACTTTTCATTAAAAACAAAATACTTTTATTATGTTAAAGAGATTATAGTAAAACATAGAAATACGAATCTGTTAAATATATTCTATTCAAAATTATTTGTCGATCTAATATTTAGTATACATTCATCAATAATCATTTTATTACTTGTCATCTCAAAACTCTGGTTTATTTCCAGTTAGAGACAAAGGAAATATCTAAACTGTGTGTATTTTTCAGCCCTAACAATGTTGTCATGACAATATAAAAAAATCAATGTGATGAAGGAGGTAAAAACTTTGTTTTTTTTGTTTATTCTCTAGCCTCATTCTCATCTAGATTCAGTCATCTAATTTATTTTCTTCATGATTATAATTACCGCTATATTTTCATTTATTTCAGTGGTAATGATGTGGTCAAAACCTATAATGATGGTTGTTCTTTTAGTTTATGGATACCACACCCTAGTAATTAGAAGATAAGTGAAAAAACTGTTCAAATTATCTAAATACAGGTAATAACACCATTTAAATAACGAAAACAATACATTATTTAGGTTACCAATTACGATCTTTTAAGACACCTGATAATAAAAATAACCAAAGTTATTGATTAATTGGTATCAAAGTAAACCAGATACGATTCCATTGTACAGGAGAATGTCAATCAACTGTAGATCTAATATTACAAACTTAAATTAACCTACTTCCAATAAGATAACCAAAATAGTGCTGTTTAGTAGACTAACTTATCAGTCATTAACTATCTACGACTGATTATTAGTCAATTGTTGAATAAAGTATGATTTTTTTATCAATTCAAACTCTATAATCATTCGACTTCGAGCAAACCACTACTATATTTAGCATATGTACAATTGATTGATCACTAAGTAGTGACCAATGTCATGCATATCAAAACGTTCTTAATGCAGATCCGATCCAGCATTTTAGTTACTAGTTTGAGGGATTCTACATAGTATGCAATATGTTGGGATATAAGGTGGTCGGTGAGGAACCTTGGGTTTAGTTTACATGAACTGGTTAGTGATATGTGGAGGGTATTGACAGTTCCCGGATGATTCTGTCCTGTTTTACCTAGCTTCATAGTTAAATACACTGTCATGACACACCATATCACTTTTCAGTCAGATAGCTTAGTAGTAACATCTCTGACTGTGGAACTGGGAAACACGGCATAAAGTCTGTCAGGAAACACTAGCTCCATTGAGGTCGCAAGAACACTCTGGTAAAGAACCCTAAAGAGCACAAAACCTACTGTCATATCAAATAACGTATGCGCACTAGGTAGTCTTTCGAAAATTATTTAAGCTTATCTCTTTCGTAGAACAGGCGTAAGTAAATAAGTATGTAACTCTCTCATATAAAAATACAATTCTGATGAAAATTCCAGAACTTTCAGTAACTTTAAGTTAACCATATCAATACAGAACGCGTGTTTCATTTGACTTAGGACGCGCCAGCTGATTATATTTGGATCCTAGTGTTGATATTCGCATATAAGCTCTAAATCAGCACCATTTTTTAATACCCAACGTATTATCCACTGAGCTACCGATTCCAGATACCCATTAATTACGTAATAACTTTCAAGCAAACTAGCTAGTAAGTAGTCAATACTCCATATATTCTGAGAAATAAGCAGAATTGTGATGAGTCATGTTTTAAGAATTTCATTAAAGAAATTTGAAAAACACCCATTGAACTAATCTTTCTTATTTAAATATGAGAAAGCTTAAGGTTTACTTACTTCATCAAAACTAACTAGTAAACAGAATTTCAGATCATAATTTAGTTACAAACGGACGAGTTAGACTCATTGTTTGTAAACAAGCTTAAATGTTACGATTGAATAAATGTTAGACCACCATCGCAAACTAGGATAAACTGGACAGCCGTTTTGTTTTAGTATGGGACTGCTCAGCCGTGCATATCCACGATCCCACACGCGGGACTCAAACCAAGGGCTTTCGCTCTCAAGGGAGAACGCCTAACCTATGGACTACTGAGCCGGCATCCAGTAGTGTTAATGTCTAACTTCAACCAATCCACGACATTATCATGTGCTCACTAGTAACCGGCTTGAAGATGAGTCTCCTAGAGTTCTAGCGAGAATCCATAGCTAGTGGAGTTCTGTGTCTGTTGTAGAGGCAATTACTTACTGAAGACAATAATGGACGATCGCGCAATATCGTGGATTGATTGAAGTTAGACATTAACACCGTTGAATGCCAGCCGCCTCAGTGGTCTATAGGTTAAATGTTTGCCTGTGAGACCGAGGGCCCTGAGTTGGAATCCCGAGTGTAGGATCGTGGATGTACATTGCTGAGTCTCATATTAGAACGAAACAGCTGTCCATTGTTTCCAGGTTTTCAATGGTGATCTAACATTCATCCACATAAGATATCAACTACAACTCAGCAATCTCCACAACCATATACTGAGAAGCTTAATAATGTTATTGGTAAAGTTGAGAACTGATCAAACTGAAATTTAAACTCAAGATATGTGAAAGCCAAGAAAATTTTATCTATGTTTCAGTATAACAAAAACATCGTTTCGGATTAATTAAAATTATTTAAGTAATACGCCTCCAGTGGACTTTCACATTATCCTTTCTTCTTTTTAGTAACGCAGTTTTGTAAACAATTCTTGGTTAAAGTAAATGATCATTCAAATCACTTTTTAAAAGAATGATATATATATATATATATATATATATATATATATATATATATATACTCAATTCAAATTACTTTTAAATATATCATTTGCAGCCCGTATGTACTGAAGATACTTTACTGATATATATTCGCAGTGGTCAAATTAGAAAAAAAATTAACTCAAGGTCACACGTCAAGTCTAAATATTCCGTATTTGAACTCAATCGGGTTTTAATGATCTCATAAACCAGCTAAGAAATACTTATTTGATAGAAAATAATTGCTTCAGATAAACTAGTCATATCATTCAGTTTCATATCAGTTTATGTGATGATTCACTTGACAATAAAACTTAAGATTACTATCCTATAATAATAAACTTCAAGATATGAGTATGGCATAACAGATTGTGTTACTAATCAATGATATGATAGGAATAATATGATATTTTGATGCATTTTAATTTAACTAATAAACATGTACATTATTCAATCAATATTTCTCAAACGTTTCGTTATTAAATAAAGTAAGCATATTCAAAGGAAGAATTCGGTTAATCTTGGAAAGTTTCCCAAGATAATACGTTTAATATAAGCGCCATGTTGGGAAGTACTATTTATAGCTGCCTGCTAAACAATTCAGAAACAAATATTTATCTATATAATTTATGTAAGGTTCAACTAAGAATAACGAATACAAAGTAAATTAATCATCTTACCTGAATAATAGCAATTTGTGTTTCTGTTTGAAATCGTTTATGGTTCTTTATTAATTCTTGTAAATAAACAACAGATCGTGCATCAAAACAATCCTGTCTACATTGATCTAATAATCGTTCATAATACATATTAATCTAAAATTAATCGTATATACAATAATTATTAGTTAATATTTTCTAAATGTAGCAGATTTCTAACTTATAAACCATTATTCACTGAACTAATGACTGTGTTACGATTTCAATGAGAAATCTTTAAATGAATACGACGACAAATCTATCCATCAAATTAACTGAATAAAGGAATCTAAACTGAAATTTTAAACACTTTCATTCGTTGTATAACAGTAAAGAATATAGAACTGGAGCTAGTGAACATTCATTGAGTTTACAGAAGATTAGTTTAATTTGTAGGTGTCATTCATTACAGTGCGGTTACCAGTGGAAATTAAAAAGAAATGGATAGTTGTTGTGTGCTAGTATGAGATTTTTCATAAGTCTGCGCGGTCTCACCAAGAACAGAATCTAGTAATTATCCTTAGTTTGACCACATTTCATTAAATATTATGATTCAATCAAATAGAAGAGATAGTATGAGTTATAGATAATTGTTGAAAACTAGATATATTTCTGTGGTAATTATTGATTGGCAATTTCCCTCGACGGTAAATACCCCGTTTATTTCCTCTATTATCTCGTTTGATGAGTGTTCAAATATACAATTATAAGCTTTGTGAAAAACCTATCTACCTCATTGATTGAGAATGTTAAATTTTTATTTAAAATCTCATAATGATAATATGCAATGGAAATACAACCAATTCATATCAAATCAGTTTGCTTAAATTTCTAATTTATTCACATTTCATCAATTCTAATACTGAATCAATGAATGCTTTTGATACATTTTATTATAATTTATCAATACTATTGTTAGGCCTCCCAGTGTATTAATACGTTTATTCTAATGAAAAGACAACTTGGTGTTTATAAAAGACATACACATCATAAAATCAATATAGAAATACAAACTATAGGTTTGCAATGAAGATAGTGATTTACACTTAATTACTTTTTAATGTTTTATTTTCTATTGGAAATTGTAATTTAATGAACTAAAATTACATTTAAACAAAATCTTTTAAGTTAATTATCAGAGAAGGATTTTTGTGGATATTATAGTAACTTCAATGGTTGAGATCATGAGTGAATTGAAGCTAGACCACCATAGAAAACCTGAAAGCACTGACGGCTGTTTCATTTTATCCTACTATGGGATAGTAGTGCAATTTCGTGGATTGGTTGAAGTTAGACATTTACACCGTTGGATGCTAGTTGGCTCAGTGGTATATGTTATATCCGAGCAAAGATTAAATCACGAGTAATTTCTGAGACATTAATTGACTAATATTATCGATATATTTTTACGGTATAACTATTCATTAGTTAGGTTATGTATATTTATATTCCCCTTATCATAAGCTTCACTTTGACCTATAATTTATCATTGTACGATTTACTGTCCCTAAATTATGCTCAGTTTATTAATTACTGTCTCCCACATTCACAGCCACTTTTTGGCTTATTTGTGTACATATGTTAATTTCTATTTTATGGTACGTTGTGGTCTGCCTGATTGATATATAAACCAAGTATGTCTGAAATAAATGATTTGGTTCGATTTTGGTTGATTCGGAAGCTGGTATTGTGTTCTGGACTCAAGAGGACGGGTTAGAAGGACGTAGGACCCAATAGGACGCTAGACTGCTCAGACCGGTTGAACGTCATTGGTCTTGTCATAGTGCGAATATTCGTATAAGCCGTATTCTGATTGGTGTATAAGTCACGTGATCGTAAGCCGGACATCAAAATCATAACAGTATAGAGGTTGGGCGTTCGCGCGCGAGACTGATAGGTCCTAAGTTAAAATCTCGCGAGACATGATCGTAGATGCGCACTGCTGAGGAGTCCCACTGTAGGACGAAACGGCCGTTAAGTGCTTCCACGTTTTTCATAGTGGTCTAGCTTCAATTTACTCATAATCTCAACCATTGAGATTATAAGTTATTTGTTATTTCTAATTGTACAAAGCTATTGATATATTTGAAGTTATTGTAAAAATGAGAGAGAAATAAAATATCTAGCAACCAACCAGTAAATAAACAGAAAAAAATGATTGAAAACTTTGTATATGACACTTAGTGAAATGTCACAAATGACCTTCAGCCATACTTTTGCATATCATATTAAATCAAGACATTTGTTATTAATTTACTGATAGAAACAAAAATGTATTGAATAAATTGAGAAATGTGTAATTGTTCTCTAATAAATGAATCGGTATAATTTTGATAAATTATTCTATAATATTTTTGTGTAATTTTAACCATAGATTGTTTAACGATTTAGTTGAACGTAAATGTGCTTTTCAGTTTGGTCCTAGTTATATATATAAATATATATATATAAATCGTTTTATGTCGTGATCTGGTATGTAGTTAACTTTATCACATGGGTTATCAATTAAAATAGTAACAATACTATATATATATATATATATATATATATATATATATATATATATATATATAAAACTCATCTGGGCTTATATTTTTCCAACTAGATGCTGAAAATGACAGATATATTCACGCCTTATTGATTGTCTAAAACGAAATACAGTGACGCAGTTGGTAGATGAATTGTGAGGGGCGTAGAAAACTGACTTTAAATTTTAACTTTACTATCCACGAAAAGAAAAAAAAACTAAAATCCTACGAAATGATTTTAGGAATAATTTATTGTTTACAAAATATATATCGATTATACCCAACTAATGTGTTAATCTAACCTTAGTGTGATTAACCAGCAAATAACATAATAGCTAAGATAAAAATTATATAATGACTTGCAACAAATCTGGATAGTTCTGAATTTGTGTATTATTTTTCTCAAAGTGATTAGGTACTAAACAATATGATTGAAACTGTCCTATATAGAGAAGTTTTCATCGTGAAATGACTTCAACTCGTGAACCATTGGAAATCCAAGGTACATTTTAGACAATTGTTTAATTCCATTGTGGAGCTTTTTAACAGTGTTGAGATATATCCAATTAAATATCATATATGATGTGATAGATCATGATAAAACAATCTTAAAATTATTACTAATCATATTATAAAAAATGCCATAAGAAAAATGAATTAAATACATATTATTTGACAGACCTCATTCAATAAATCAATTAAATTAACCGAAGATTCAAAAGCTAACAATAAAGATGATCTTCCAGATATTGATGAATTCGTACGATTCTTTTCATTTTTATGATTTACAAAAGATGAATTACCATTCAATGCTAGTCTTTGTGAATTATCATCATAATCTTCAATACTATTCAAACTAATTTCATTGTCATTAAATGAGCTAATTGTTTGAATACTATCATTTGTTTTAATACAGTTAACAGTTGGAAATAAATTAGTTTCTATATTATTTTGTTCAGTTCTATAATCATTATTGTCCAAATAAGGCTCATCAACTATTGCTTCCATTGAAGAGAACAAATTTTGTTCAGATATATTTAAAAAGCAAATTTGTAACGCTGGATTATTTTTCTAGGAATTAAAAAAAAAACAATGGATAAATTGTTTGTTTATTAATTATTCATATTTCAGTGATTTGAATAATGAAAAGGAAAAAAAATTTTAAAAAATCTAATTTTCATAACTTACATTAATTTGTAAATGAAATACCCATCCATATGATTTAAATTAGTGTCATTTTATTATTTAGAGAATTATATTCACTTTTGTATATCATTCAATAATTAGATTTACATCTTGACTGATAGCTTACAAGTTAAAATAATAAAATCAAATTTAACTAAATCTGTTAATTTTATAAATAAATAAATAAATAAACAGAATTATGTACAATAATAATAAAATAATCAATCAATCAACCAATAGAAAACAACTTTCATATGATTGGATAATTATGCATTTCAAGGTTATTTGAAAATTAGTAATAGATTAATTTTCAATATAAAATAACTATAATTTATAAATAAGACTAAATAATCTCATTAAAATACTATTATACATAAAACGGATTGTTATCAGTGATGACATTTTTATGAATATGTTATGCCCCGATAAGAATAATTCACTTGTGGACTAATACTATACGTATAATTTTATCGTATAATTGTTAATTAACTAAACTATTCATATTCATGTCTCTCTTATCATAAGGTTTATTTTAAACTATGAACTGTTATTATACAATTTTTCATTCTTGAATTATTCCCTGTTTATTAATCACTACCTCCCAAACTTTTTACAAATGTTATTTTCTATTTTATGGTACTTTGTGGTTTGCTTGTTTGGTATATAAACCGAGTATGTTTGAAATAAATGATTCATATCGCAGAGGCTCGGATTGGTGTTCTGGACTTAACTGGTTGGGCTAGACAGGAAGCGCGACCAATCAGGACTCTAGGCTGCTCGTACGGGTTTTACGCGTCATTGAGTCGATCGATAATTCACTGTTGTCTAATCGACGGTCACAAGTTATAACAGAATGTCAGTAAACAACACATAAAATGCATATATATTTCATAAATTTAGGAATATTTAGTGTTTATTAACAAAATGAGTTTAACTGTTAGAATAAAACAACCATATGACGATAAAACGTTTTTCTTCAAGCATTTCCAGTGGTTATTTTTCTGGTTAGAGTTGAAGAACATCTGGAATTCAAAATAACTGTCAACCAACACTAAAGCCAGAATTATCAATACAAATGTCAAAACGGTTCTACAGTATAGGGTCGAAACTTGGAGGACTACGAAAGCAATCATTCAGCTATCTACTCAAAATACTTAATATCCGTTGGCTAGACACTATCAGCAACAAGCTACTGTGTGAGAGAACAAACCAGATTCCGGTGGAGGAAGAAATCATGCTCACCTAACATTCCAAGTATTGACTATTTAAAATCAGGAGAAACACTTTAAAATAAATTCTTAGTATGCTAGTTTTAGAATCAGAAGAAAGTCAGTATTGAAGAGTTGTTAAATCTTTAATTGAACTTTTTCACGCGTATGAACAATGACAGATTCGAACTAATCTGTGAAAATGTCAACATTCTTAGTTAAGAGCATTTTCAGAATGCTGAAGAATTTCTAGAAGTATTCCATATAGAACAATTAATAATCAGTAGTTGAGTAGACTAAGACCGAATCTATTAACCAATACGGAAAAAGTTAATCAACTATATGATCAAAGGTGAAATGAACAAGATGGTAAGCTTGAGTACAAGGATAAATCAAAACAATGAAGCCTGGGAAAACAACCAATCAAAGACAAGACCCATAGCACGAACTGACTTAACGCTTGTGGAATAACAGAAAATGTCATTATAAAATTAAATAAAATAAACGTTGATGACGTGATAGTATGAAAAAGAAAGGTTCACAATTCAACAATCTGTCTGTTTACAATTGCTTAAAAATGTCTACGTACAATATCATAAAAGATTGATACCATTGTAATAAAATCTTCAGGCAATCATAATACCATTTAGCCAGTGTGACATAATTTATCAATTTACATATGAAACTTTTATGAGTTTATAATAAAACATAAACCTTACTATGCTTTAATGGTGGTTTACTACTTCACCACTCTCAACTTATGCGATGTCAATCGGGCCTCAAATTTTATGAAATATATTTGTTACGTCCTTGATCTGTCTACCAACTTTTGGTACAAAGGATACTTGTCTAATCCAGATTAAGACCTTGACACGATAGGCTAACCAGCCCTACCATGAGGCTAGTATGTATGAGTCCGAAATGGAGTACAGAGAGGAAAACTATTCTATCACCTGATTGGCTGACAAGTACGCAAGTAAGAGAAGACAAATCAACTAGAACACTACTCAATTTATTCTCCATTCCGATCTGGTTCCCGATTTCAGATTAGTGTAAAAGTGTACATCAATAAATAAATGACTAACCTGAACATAACGTGCAATAATTAGAAAATAGAGTACAAAAGCTTTGAAACAAAAAGTTCTATGGCAGTAAATCATAGATCAAACGAAAGCTTATAATTTATAGAATAGATTAGGAACAAAAATAAATATTACTGAATTAAATGAAAAAAATGTCCCGAAAAATAGCTTCCATAGTTTGTCAAGTCTTCTTGTTTCTCTATTCACATCAATATATTTCTTTTTAAAATTCATCTCTAAACTGTTAATTATAGATGTAAATATATTTTATAAGGTTTTTCTAATCTAATGATCCCATTGTAGTGAACAAGAACACTAGTGGGGACAATCGAATGTATTTGACACAAACTTACAGGACTTGTCAATAAAATCTAACGATCATATAGTAATTGCTTAATTTGCAAAATGTCCACCAATTGTCTCAAAATGACTCAGACTTCATTGTTCTTGCATTTTCATACAAATCGCATTCTGTTCCCATTCTTTACTGTTCGATCCTCTTGTCTCTCTGCTGTCAGACATTCTGTTCATGACTAGAGTTATATACTACTTATGTCTATATAAGAAGCACACACTACACCATTACCAATAATTGTCAGGTATCAAACGACCCCATTTTTTTCTCCTCTCAGATGAGCCAATATGTACTTTAATGAATTTAATAATTTCTTTATATGAAATACATTCACTTGCTTTGATAATATAATGAATGAATGATTCACAAGTATAAATATTTACATTATCCAAACAAATAAAGTAATCTGATATAATTAATAAAGAGATCTATCAATTATTCTGAATCAAGTATACTATTAAAAATTTGTTATATACCATTATTAGCAAATACTGATATACAAACATAATTTTAATTCATATTATATGATCACAGAATAGTACATGAAGGAAGAAAAAAAGAAATAAACAACAACAACTAAGAAAAAACATTGATTTACAATTTTGTTTTATTGCTATATGTTGTGTTGAGTGATTACTTATTCATACAGAAAAAAATAAGGTGAAGGAAAGTTTTAAGATCTTTTTAAAAATCGATTTTTTTGGTTAACTACTACCCTTTGGAATTCACACTTTATTCTGGTAATTTAATTGATGGTAATACTTATAAATAATCATTAAATTCAATCGAAATCATGAATCAATTTAAGTTAGATCATTATTGAAAACCTGAAAACAATGAACGGTCATGTTGACTTAGGATGAGACTTTAACAATAAACATCCATGATCCTCCTTGCAGGAGTTGGACTCGAGACGTTTGGTTTCACATACGAATGCTTAACATTTAGACTAATTAATCGGGTTTAAATGGTGTATCAGCTTAGCTTTAATCAATCCATAAACGTATAATTTTAGTGGCCCTATATCTGACCTCAATTAAATCGTATGAATGATTGTTGTCAAAATATACATCCCAGCAATCCTCGTTTATTTTTATCGACTTAACTCGTGTTGGTGAATAACGGAATTTAAATAAGTCAAATATGAGAATGGATGTTTGAGTACGCATATTCTGTACACTCGTTAATAGGAACAGACAGTCAGAGAATCGTAGCGAATGAAGCGAAGAAAGGGCGAAGCGAAACGAAAGGACGAGCAGTAGAGAAGGCGTGTGAACCGACTCCATTTAATCAAGCGTTAATATTTGTAGCCAGATAAAAATAAGTTGCAGACATGTGATGAATAGGATCTGAAGTGTACACCTGTCCAGAAGGTAGAACATGTTATATGGGCTTGACATAGTAACGGACACTACAAACTGATAATTATCAAATGCTCACTAATGACTAGCTTCGAGAGGAAACCAATGAAGTTAAAGTGTCAAATATATGGAAGGCAGCTACTGAACACAGTGGAAAATAGTCACGAAATATGAACGAGTGATTGTACCCTGCTTCAATGATCCGGAGGTTAGGTGTTCGCGCATGTGAGATCTGTAGAGTGTTCGATTCTTGTTTACAGAGTCGTGGGTTCTCACTAGTGAAGAGTCTTACACTAGAACGAAACGGCCATAAAGTTCTTCTAGTTCTCCAATGATTTCTTAACTTAGATTGACTTTTGATTTAAATCACCACATACCATACTATTAACAAAACCTAATTATAAAAGATTATGTCGTTCTATAACTAAGTTATTGATCATTAGCAAACGTTTGTCATCATGACACTAAGAAGAACTAACCTAAGTCATTAATACTCTAATTTCTGCAGGGTACTTGATGCAAAGCTAATTATCTCGCATATTTATGATTTCATCAGTAGACAACATTTCACATAATAATATAAGTGATCACGAATGAGATTGTTTCAGTCTGACCCATAATTATATTAATTATGTAAACACGTTTTTAGCTTAGGTTGAAGATTTGTGTAGATTTTGTTTTTTTTTTTCTTAAATCGGAGGACAGATTTTATCATAGACTGATATAAGCAAATCTTGTGTAGGCGGATATTTTAAAGATCTGGTGATTTGTGGAGTTTACTGAGAGTTATCTCTTCCTGCCGACAAGAAACACATAATTATTGACAAACTTGACTAATCTTTCTCAGTAATGTAGTCAACAAAATAAGAATAGATGGAATGTAGTTGGCAATCGAATTCAGGACGCCCATTTCGTCCTCAGATGGATATACCTGCATCCCGGAGTTGATTTTAACTTCGGGATTCGAATCCAGTGTAGTCCACTTAGCTACTGAGTTCAGAAAGCCATATGGATGTTCATTCACTTATGTAATCAGTATAGATTTTCATTCAAACTGAAGCGGTTTGAATTATCTTTTGTTGTTAATATTTTGACTGAGATTTGGGACACATGGAGATAAGTTATTTCTATGTAGTATTGCGAAGACTGTATCTTGAACTGGTCAATGATATCGAACTATTTCAATCGAGAAAAGGAATAGTTTTCAACAATAAACATCAAAATTTATGTTATCATTAGTTATCAGGTAGATGGATTCCTTTAATTTAAAGTGATCAATATGAAGATGATTAAATAAAATCAGTTGAAAAAAGTTTTACTAAGTTTTAAAAAATAACTTAGAAGTTTAAGTAAGCATAGTCTAGATTGACTTTTAGGTTTATCAACTTCATTCTCACTAAAATGTTAGAATGAAGAGAATTACAACATTTCCGAATAATCATATTTTATCAACTGCCAATAAATATAAAACCTTTTGACTAGAAGAAGATATGATCCATATTACAGGAAATGATAAATACCTCAGAACGTATAATGTAAACGTTGTGCAATTGTAGTTGTGAAAAAACATGAATAAAATTAATGAAATTATCATCAAAATTTTGTAGGAAAAATTAAATAAATAAATATGTATAACGGCAAGACCATAATTCATGAACGAATAAATGAAATTAAAGATAGTAAGTATTGGATTATGAAGTGAAATTCATCCATCTATATGGTTACATGGAATTTTTGCGTCGTAGCTGATGTCAGTTTTTGATGAAAACCCTAACCCTAACCCCAACTCTTATTCAATAACTCTCTTTTAACCTTAGTAAGGTGGTGAACTTTCTCAAGGTCACTTGTGTCCATCAGAGGTCATCCATAAATTAGTCCCACTATAGTCTTATGTAGATTAAAAACACCAAAGCTATTTTATGTATCATATATGTAACTGGGGGAAGATTTTAGACTTGTTGTTTGCTCAGTGAATAGGTTATTTTGAATGTATTCGTTACACAGCATACTTTTACGAAAACTGACTTATCAACCTATCAGTTAGGGTTTTCGACACTAAGATTAATTTAGTATTCTTGTATTATAAATACGAAAATTCTAAGAGAAGACACGATTTAGTAGTCTGAGTCACAAAAACCATCACTACAGGAAAAAGGCTATAGAATAAAACATGAAAAGTGTTGAACACGAGGGGAAAGAAATCAAAATAGACCTAAGGAGTAAGATGTGTTTAATAAGGACAATTTCATGACAACAATAAATACTCAGAACACCACTGAAATATAAAAACAAATTAAAGCTAACGTGTGAAACATAAATCACTGTTAATATGATTAGGACTTAGTGATCAAGAGCGGTAACCATCAAGGTGGCTTAAAACTTTGCCAACAGGTATTTTTAGAGAATATTTTGAATTTAATGGATAAATACTGTCATTAACAAAAACTTGTATCAGAGAATAAACCAAATATATAAAAACTTCCTAATCAAAAAATAAATATAGTAGATGGACTACATTAACTTTGTACTAGCTAAAAATGAGTCCCAAAAAATATTGAGACTTGAGTTTCGTCAGAGAAAGTTACAAAAGGAAAAGAGCACTACTGCGACTTGAAGTGGATACTTGATTGGTTCTCTACCGCTTTGTAATCTAAGCGTAGGACTTGAAAAACTAAATAATATTACTCTTTGAAAACTTATTTCTTGGACAAATTGTTAGGTAATATATTAATCTTAAGCATAATCATTTGAGCCTTTATGTAAGCATAAGATTAGAAGCTCACCTGATGTTTTTGGTCAATCCACGATGGTCTCGATTCCAACCATTCTTCAACTTCGCGGCAAAGATCAGAAGGTTTACTTATTTTCGGAGAACTGCTATTGCTCACCGGCTGAAATTGAGCGAAAACGAAGATGTTATCGATCTATTACATAAATGTGACTGTAAATAATAAGACCACGAGAAAAATTATGCATCCATAATGGAGCTCAGGTCATATAATCAACAGCATACAGGTTTACTGAAAGGTTTAGAGAATAAAACGTCTAGTTTATGAAATCAGTTATTGAAAAGAAGTATCATACAATAATAATAAGGCGGAAATCAAAGTAAATATTCTCTAAAAAATTATCTACAGAAAACGATACTCTGAAAGTAGGCTTGTAACGAAAACCACAATGTGATAGTATACAAACAGAAAAACAAGCGAATGAGCTAAAGAAGTGACCAGCAATTAAATGACTCATTTCATTTTCTACATAGGGATTTCGCTCCTCAATCATGAAAACCGTGAACCCAGAAAACAGTCTGGTCGAAGGAGATATTTTAAATCACTTTAGCATCTCCAATAAAATACACCAAGAAATAAATAGGCTTTAATTTCAGCGGCACTATTTATAAATTCATAGTACTGGTGAAACTTATGTTTGCTGTGATATACACAACCGAACTCAATCTACCTAGACGACTGGGAGGGTCAAAATTCCAGTTGCTGACTATTTTTGGCTTGATGTAGACGTTTATGAATTCTGCTTGCTAACTATTAGATCAGTTTATTAAGTGGAAATATTGACAAAGTTAGATGAAGGACATAAGAAATAATACTCATCACAGTAGATAGTTAGACCCTGCAGATATAGTTTCGGAGAAACGAACAGGATCGACGAGTGAAAAACACTAAATAAACATAAGGAATGGATGGGATCGCACCGCTGCGATATAATTTGGGGTATGTCACCCAACACCTTTAACCATAGATCACAACAATCGTGTACTTCTTAGCTTAGAAGTCTGCATGTACCTTTATGGTTCATTTCTCCAGTCGATATCTTCGGTTCTCCACCCCTAGCGTCCATTCAGCTAATCTTAATGCCAACAATTCCTAACTTCCTGATTTAAGTTTATGGGTTCACCGATCAAATTTTACTTTAAAATTTAGAGCCAAGACTCAGCGAATTAAGATGATTACTCTATGACCGAAAATATGTGCAAAGTATAAAAAATTTTGAGAGCCAAAAATTTTCCATACTGCTGACGAATTCGAAAAGTTACCCAACAAATATGGAGACATGGCGATTCATTCTATTTCTGCAATTATGTTTTATTATTTAAAGCATGAAGAGACAGATGCAAAAGACATGACAAAATAGTTTTCCTATCATTTTATTCGGTGATTTTGGCAACACTTTCTTCTAAACCTAACCGCAACTATTATTTTCACCATAAAATATGTATTTCGAAAGCGTTTTCAACTGATAATATCGATTATTTGAAATAACACAATTAAACTTATGCCAGTCAAACATCAAGCTTATTAAATGTTTGTATTAACTTATATAACAAAAGTTGTTAAGAAAAGTCCATTAACTAGCCCTGAAAGAAAATGATTGCTTATCGATGGCGAATTCTCACCATTTGCTGAAGCCAAATATTTACACGCCATAAATCACAAAAATAATACTGGGTTTAAATGTTACCTGTATTAATTAGTTTAAATGATTAATTATTACTATCACCAATCACATAGTGTTTTGCTGAACACAATCAAATTATTGACTTTAAATAAGAACTAAACCAAAAGTGTGGAAATGCTTAGAATCAAAATCAATAAAAAACAATCGCTATTATTAAGAACATTACTCTTTCAGCAAAATTTTTATATTCGATTTTTGAAATGTTCCTAAATAACGAATTTTTTCCTACTACTAATTATATTTTCAGCAGTTCATTTCATTGACCGAAATTGTTTAAGACATCAATAATGGTCAGCTGAATTAACCTGCATATCAGTATTATTGTACACAAATAGAAAGGAGAGCGCCTCTTCGATTTTCCTACTAGCCACCGTTCAACATTATTAAGTCTTGTAACTAGCAACATCGAAGGGTTCATCTGAAGAGACACAAAAGGACACTGACCGATCCTTAACTAAGGGAAAATACAAACCATTATTGTTGTTAAAATTAAAGATATTGTGAATGTCTGTTTAATGAAGTGAAATTTTCTTCAGTGACGTTTCTTTTTTATTGATAAACTGTTTCCATAATTGAAAACTTGGAAGCACTGGACAGCCGTTTGTTCCTAGTATGGGACTCCTCAGTGGCAGAGTACATGCACGATCCCGCACACATGACTTAGAACCAGGACTTTCGTTCTCGCGCCAGAAGGCCTAATCTCTAGGTAACTGAGCCTGCATCCAATGGTGTCAATGTCTAACTTCAACCAAATCATGATATTGAGTGACCATCTATCAGTTTTTAGTGAGTAACTGCCTCAAAACAGACACGGTTGAACTTCACTGGTCATGAGTTCTCACTAGAACTCCAGAAAATTCATCTTGAACCCAGTCACTTGTGAGCACATGATAATTCCCAGTATAGGGTAGTGATCTAACCTTGTCCCATTCATGATATCAATCTAAACACCACAAATTCGAGAACACTATACTGATAATCTGTTTCCAGTTAAAAGTTAATCGGTGATGATATCGCTTAAATATATTCTATCAATATATAGTTCAATGTACAAAAAGAAAAGAGTATATTTCAATTCTGAATTAACAAGATAATTTAGATATTATGTGATATGTGCTGCTGATGTTGACAAATACAAGTAGTAAGTATGCTCAATGGAAAGTGAAATGCCTGGCGGCACAAGGTTGATAAGATCGAAAAGAGAACGAAAACAGTGAATGATTTGTGTGGAAAAAATGGAACAACCAAGTCTGAGACTACTCATTAACATTTTGAAAATGAAGTATTTATTGTATGGTTTTCAGATTTTATTAAGAGATTCTGCAATTTTATATTCAAATACATTTGGTTATCCTCTCCTGTGTTCTCATTCATTACAATTCCAAAAATAGTGTTTTATAATATGTAAACAATCATAGAAACGCATAAATGATGAAAAAAAAAAAGAAAATCTAGTGAATCATTAATTACGATTTCAATATTTTCAATTTTATTATTGATTACTCATTTGTTATCAGCAAGTAAGTCACACGTAAGTTATATCATTTTGGTAAAATGATTTTGTATATAAATAATTATTTTCATTATCTAATAATTATTTTCTTGTAAAATCTATTGATTTTTAATTCGGAGACTTATTTTCTGAGTGGATTTTCATCAGTAATTATTTAGTAGTTCAGCGTTCGAACGCAAGAGTGACAGGTCCTGGGTTTGAATCTCACGAGGCGGGATCGTGGGTGCGCATTGCTGAGGAGTCCCACAGCAGGACGAAACAGTCGTTAAGTGCATCCAGGTTTTCCATAGTGGTCTGACTTCAATTGACTCATGATTACAACTATTGAAATTTCTAAAATCTCCACAAAACCCCTTCGGAAAATGATCATTATAATTACTTCTTGACTGATTATTGTGCTTATATGTTGCAACATACAACATCAAAAACTCATATATTCGTTTATCTTGGAAAGAGCAAGAAAAAGATTCTAGCAGAATAGCATGAATTCATTTTATTTTGTTGGTTCTCGTCAGCTACTTACAACCTGTGATAGCTTGCAATCTTTCAATAATTCAATCAAAGATTGACAAGCACCCCTTTCATGTTACTGCCGACTGTATTTATAAATTTACGGGTACCTACCAAAGCAGGTGCTACATTGGCCGAACAGAAAGGAATGCATATCTAAGACTTTTTAAACATGTTCCAAAAGCCTCAGAACAATAGAAAGATTCTAATCAGTACAATTACCAAACATCTCCTTGATACAGGACATCAGGTCGATACCTTTCAATATTTCAAAGTGATTAGTAAGCAGTCAAACTCCAGTCTTTTGAAGTTTGATGAAGCCGTTGCTATCAGACGTCAAAACCTGACTTACGTGTTCAAAAGCAGATGGTTATTAATTTTTCCTTGCCTTGGTGACAAATATTCCTTCGCTGCATCTTGAACTTTTTTAAAAAGCTCTCTCTTGCATTTATTACATCATTGAGTTTTATTTCAACTATCTTCGAAATTAGTAATCTTATTATATAAGCTGAGCTCTCCTCATTTTATTCCTATCAGCGTTTACTCGTTATGTAATCACTTGTTTCTGGCAATTCGAACTGTTGTCAAAATCACCGTTGTAGAATGTTCTTTTGCATAAGTTATATATTCACAATATTCAGTCTATTAAATTGATTCACACCCTTGCTATACTATAACTATTGTGTCTCCGATATAACTTCCGATCAAACACTTTCATGTAAGTAATTAAAACCTATTATGTAATTATGATTTTTAAATATCACAGGTTGTAAAAAGCTAATGAGAACTAACGAAATAAGATGAATTAATGCTATTCTACTAGAATCTTCGTTCCTGATATTTTCAAAATGATGGGGGGAACTATTGGTTTATCAATGAGGTTTCAAATATTTGTCATGCAAAAAGTATTTCACAAAACTTACAATATCTAATGAAAGAGAACACTCCATAAATCTACTTTGATCAGCATTCTTCCTTCTTTGAATAGGTGAACCCCATTCAGGCATCTTTTTATCTGATGTTGAAAAGTCTTTAGAAGTTATCAGTTCCTGTAAATAAAAAATGTTATTTTAAAGTAAATTTATCAGATTCTACAAACATCATTTTGATAATTTTGACTACAGAACTTAATTCTCCAGTCAACATACAATGGTCGATATTGCCAAATGAACCGGAAACTAATAGATCCATTTAAAAACTTCTTATTTGTAACATATCTATACATCATAGTAAGTTGTTCTAACATTCAAATTCATCATCAATCACTTGTGAAACTAGATTTCTATTCATCAGAGGATTGAGTTGTGATGCCTGCTTGTAATTAAGTCTGGATCATTATAAAACATTGAATTTGCAGCATCGGAATAAATCTTATTGGTGAATCTCAAACAGAAGGAAACACAAGTAATTAATTCCAGCGATACATACTATTGAATATATTTCATGATTTTGTAGTTTATTGGATGATTCTGAATCATTTCGACTAAATTCATCAACCACTAATCATAGTTATCATGAGGTTCTTGACCAAGTATGCTTCATCTAGTGAAAATTACTTAGGCCAATAGTCAATGATTTCACGGAGTGATGCCATGTCTTGGTTTGGCAGTCTCTAATTTTTGCTCAGATCACTTATACATCAGAAAACTCCATGTGTTGGAGTAGGCAGTGTCTAGTCATCCGTGACACCTGTTCTGACCACCTCAGTCAGAAACCTTCAGTTCACGAATATCTTTTACTCTCAATGATCATGTTTTACAGTGATGGAACGATACAGATATGACTACTAATGGGCAATATATTCGTCATTCGGTTGGTAGGAAGACAGCCTACAGTAATCTATTAAGCCGATTCCTTAGCTTGACCATAAGTTAAACAGAAAGTTTTGGACTCAACTAATGACAAAAAAATATATGTACCTCACTTCTTTAAACGCTTGCATAATAAAATCTGTCAAGTATGATTTATAATTGATTTAGCTGATAAGTAAGAAAGATTAGTTCAGCAAAGAGTTCTCTTTTCGGCAAATTCATTTCAAAGCTGTACAATCGCAAATATATATACTTATTTTTACAGGATGATAATAATACTGATAATAAACTTCTGTTAGACATCGGTGACAGTGAGGTTAAATATAAACAAAGGTATTAAGGAGAAATTTTTTTATTTAAAACAAGGTAAATTTAATAATCGTTTGATTGTTAATGGCCTAAGTATTCATCAAAAGATAGATAGGGAAAATTATCATTTAAGAAAGGATGGCTCAGCAGTTGGGTTCCCATCAGCCGAAAAAGAAACTTAATAATAACACTCGCTACAAGAATACGAAGAATCTGTAGCCCAGAAGTCATAGATGAAGAATTGGGCCTTTTAAAAGAGATACTTATCAAAAACGGGTATCCTTCGATATTCATTGATAAGAACATGAGTCCGAGAACACCAAAAACGCAAATAATTACAGTAGAAAAGAAAACTCTATCCATGAACATCGACTTCAAAGGTGATAGAGCCACATATATCTTAAAGAGGAGAATTTCGGATTCCTTAAAAAGAACATTCTTTGCAGCAACATTGCGAATGTTATTCTCCAGCCGATCATTGTTCAACAATAATCTGAAAGATAAATTATCGTATCTGACCAACTCAATGTGCATTTATCAATTTACCTGCTCTTGTGAAGCTAGGTGTATAGGTCGTTCGATGCGTACCTTATCCAAAAGAATTCAAGAACATTGTCCGGCGTGGCTAAGAAGAGGCGGCAATGGCTCAATAAGAAGTTCTATAATCGAACACCTTGTGAACAGACAGACTCTGCGTTCAAAGTCATCTACAAGGTAAGTAGAAGTCTCCCTAAGGCAATTAGACTGCATCTTCTTTGCATTGCCGAAGCAATAACCATATATCTGGGAAAACCAGAATTGTGCGTGCAAAAGAGACTGGTACAACCTCTTCATCTAGCATGGTCTTAGTGTATTAAAATTTCTCTCTTGTTCCTTTACAGCCATCTGCTTCACTTTCCATCTTCCCCTTAAATCTTCTACCCCCAACTGGTTTGTTTTTATTTCCATGATCATTCCGATTACATTTCATCCCAATCTCAACATTTTATCTTACCATGCTGAGCCATCCTTTCCTAAATGATAATTTTCCCTATCTATCTTTTGATGAATACTTAGGCCATTAACAATCAAACGATTATTAAATTTACCTTGTTTTAAATAAAAAAATTTCTCCTTAATACCTTTGTTTATATTTAACCTCACTGTCACCGATGTCTAACAGAAGTTTGTTATCAGTATTATTATCATCCTGTAAAAATAAGTATATATATTTGCGATTGTACAGCTTTGAAATGAATTTGCCGAAAAGAGAACTCTTTGCTGAACTAATCTTGCTTATTTAATGACTTAATGGGTGTATTTCTTTTATTAGCTGATAAGTAACAAATTATTTGTTACTTGCACACAACTCAAATATTTTGAGAACTCAATATTCAAAATAGATTGCGATAATTCAATTATATAAAGTCCTCAGAAGCGGAAATTCTATGAATCTAGGATTAGTACTTATTCTAACCCGAGATATTAATTGGAAATGCTTATACTACTTATGAGTAGTCAAACTCTTTGTCATAGCAAACTATATTTTACCAAATAGTAGTGAAGACCCAGTGCATTTTTGTTAAATATAGTTCAGTTGATGTACTTTATTCACGTATGTTTTAGACTTGATTACAGAGTGATTAGAATATTATAAGAATACAGTGAACTACTAATCTAGCTGCCAATCTAATATAAGCAGCTTGGTTGTTTTCCAAAAGTAATTAATATTTAATTACACGATTGAATGCCAGCTCAGTGGTCTAGAAGCTAAGTATTCACACGTGAAATCGATAGTTCCAAGTCCAACTCTTCGATCCAGACTTGTGCACTCACACTGCTAAGGAGCCCTATTCCAGGGTAAAACGCCCATTCAGTTCTGCTAGGTTTTCAATGGTGGTTCAACTTAAGCCAGTTGGTGATTTAAAAAATGAAAATATTAATTAGTGTATAACCAACAGTATAAAACATAGAATTCATAATGGGTTCTCTTTCGCTGAATATTTTAATAAAGACCAACTGAGTTACCCGCAGCTAATTAGAAATTTGTATCGTTTTCTCTTCATATAATTAATTGACATACCATTCGTTTTTTATTTTTTTCTTCAGCTCTTCTTAACGCAGCCTCAAATTTAGTTTTTGGTTCTGCTCCTTTTATAATATCTTCATCTCCACTATCATCCCATTCGTTTAGGTATTTAAACGTTTTTTCTTCAACATTCTGTACTTCAGAGGAAATACTCTGACATGATTGAATATTATTTACAGATGAACAACTTTTTTCACAAAATAAAAAATCGGATTCAATCGAATCAAATCCACTCTGCAAATAATGAAAATCAAAGAAAAAAATCAGATTGACAATAACCAGTCAATCATTATCTAATTGTTATTACTTTTGAACTATTTCTATATTAGTTGTATTAATTAGGTCGAAAAACCATTCATATACTTAGAAATATATGGGAATTTATTTTCAAACAAATGACATTTTAACCAATAATACAGTCCAGGTGATTGCTGGATGTTAAAATTAGAATTATATGTGTAAAAAACATATCGTTGTAGTAAATGAGAAATCTTCATCATCTAATGCAAAATGTAACATGATATAAAAATACAAAGTTGTTATGTGTAACGGTGGATTTGATGCAGATGTGAAGGCACGAATCGGCAAAGCAAGAGCAGCATATTTACAAATGAAGAACATCTGGAACTCAAAACAATTGGCAACCAACACCAAGGTCAGAATTTTCAATACAAATGTGAAGACAGTTCTACTGTATGGAGCGGAAACCTGGAAAACCACGAAAGCCATTATCCAGAAGATAAAGGTGTTTTTTAACAGTTGTCTGAGAAAAATACTTCGGATCCGTTGGCCGTACACTATCAGTAACAACCTACTGTGTGAGGGAACAAACCAGATCCCAGTGAAGGAAGAAATCAGGAAGAAGTGCTGGAAGAGGAAAGGACACACATTGAGGAAAGCACCGAACTGAGTCACAAGAAAAGCCCTCACATGGAATCCTCAAGGCCAAATGAGGAGAGGAAATGGAGATGTACATGAGAAAAATGAACAAGAGTTGGATAGAACTAGAAAGGAAGGCCCAGGACAGAGTGGGTTGGAGAATGCTGGTCGGTGGCCTATGCTCCAATGGGAGTAACAGGCGTAAGTAAGTATGCAAGCAAATAAAGTGTAACTATACTGCCACAGTATATAACAGTTAGAAATTCAACAAATGCAAGTCACTTGCATGTTGAAAATATAATAAACATGAAGATTTTAATACTTAGAGGTAGAAAATTCTTTTTTAGTGACAAAGAACACTTTTTTAAGACAACATTCAAATATATCAATAGTGACCGATTATAGGGTTTAGCAATAAAAATGTGGGATTCTCGAACCATCGGATTTTAAAGCTATGATTAATTTCGTCAAGACAATAATTACAATAGGAAGACTTCATTTGGAACGAACAGACTATCTTTATAAAAAATAAAGGTTTAAGTGAGTATGAATGATGTTATAAACTGAAATCAAGTGACCGGAACGTTTAAGCGTAACTACACTCAGTGATAGCTTTTCATAATTGTATGTCAAGTATGGTTCTCAGATACTCCAACTTTTATCTACGAAAATGTTGAAATATTAGTATTAAAAGCAGTATAAAGTGTCGGAATTCAACTCAGCTTCACATATATATATATTGTTTGGCGTACTAGTCAAATTTACCCTAGTATTGAGTACTCAGTTTATAGTAACTGCGTTTATAAAAACAATAGTCAACTTATAATATTGCTCAATCAAACCATGTGGCTTAGGGATCTTGTGATATTTGTGTAGTCTTTCGAAAATCATATAAAGATGAGTCGTCTAATTTACATTAACAATTTAACGCCCAAACTAAAATTTCCACCATTGATTTAATATTTATGCATAAATTACGTGCATTAGGATTTTCATCTGTGAACGAAATATCAGTCTACAACTCACCAATTCTCAGCTATAGTAAAACCAACTGTCTTAAACAATTCATTAATGAAGAAATTCCTATGACAAATGGTCTGTATATAGTAGATGATCCGAACAGGAGAAACCATTGACCAAAAACCTTCCTTCCTTCTAAGTATATATTGTAGGACTAATCATTTATGACAACAATGTACTACTGTTAAAATTTAACCATAACTAACATAACAGCTCAAGCAGCAAAAGTGATATTTGTCTTCATTAGTTTATAATATTTGGTTGTTCTTTGTAATAACCACGGGAGAAATGATCAAAATGGAACTCAGTGTCCCCAGTCGACCAAAGATACAATAAAATATTTTAGTGATATAATAAAATCAAAACGTAAAGTTTGCATAAATATAAATTTAGTATGATAATAAAATCAAGTGTTCTAGTACGTCAGTGGTAATATGTATTTACTATTTAAATCCCATAGGTGTGTCACCCAATTTGTTTCAAAAATTGAGATTACATGATATGAAATGATTCACTTATTTGGCTTGTAATTACCATTTTCAAATTTAATTTCAATATAGTATCACTCTATTGTAATGGAATTTTAATTCTAGGACTGTAATAAACTCTAAATTAATTTCATATGATTTATATATTTCTACATTTTACCATTATAAACATACATTTATATATAAAAGTAAAAAAACAGTAACAGTCAACATGATGCCGAGTAATTGCACTTCTAACACTGGAATTCAGCTTAATGTAAACTAGTTTCATCTAGGTAATTGTAACGAGAACAATACAGTCCTGTTCTCACAGACATTCAATTTATTTAGACTAATTGTTTAACTTGAAAAATTTGTGTGCAAAAATTACAAACACACACCTGATAACTACATTTTCATACATAGTGGACATAAAGCGAAACAGTGTGTATATAAATTCATACATAATGTTTACACACAAAAATGAATAACTAATAAATAACAACATTCCTTGAACAAGTATTGTTCACGACATGTATACACAGCGACATTATACTCTATTAATTGGACAGTTAAAAACAGTTTCGTTTAACACATGGAAATTGTCGGAAAAATAACTGTTTGTAAGAAAATTGACGTTCTATTCTTTTCTTATGATCATTGATTAAAAGGTATGGTATTATTACATCGTGTGTAATTTAGTTTGTAGATTCGAATAACAGTTTTTCTCCTAATACATGCTGAAAATTGCATAAAGTATAATACATTAATAACTGGGGGAGGGATTGAATTTATTTGAATTAAATCACGTATCATGTTTGAAAATTAACTGTAAAACAACTTGATCAATAGAATTCAATAAATACGAAAGGGCTAGATAAACATGATATTGATCACCACTTAGTGTTCAGTCAACGGTGAATTAGGTAACATCTAGCACAGTCTAACTTAAGGTATAAAAATAACTGAGTTGCCTAACCATTCAATTTTAACAGGAATTAACAAATAATTATACGTATATTCATTGTATTTATTTAATTATCAGACGGAAGTTGTACTACTAGCGAAACATCTGTATCCGAGATTCATCTTTTAGTAATGTTTAATATAAGTTGTTCCATCTTCTGTAAGATGAATAGAAACACTTTTTGAAAAAAATACTAAAAGATATCAACGAATTATCAAAACCATTTGTTTTAGTGAACCAAGTAATATTGTCAATATCAGACTCAGTTATATCGAAATTGTCGTTAATACAACATTACTTCCACAAAAACCTTGTAGTTCGAATAGACCTTCTAAAATATCTTCTAAAATGAGACAATGAATAACCTGATTAGTTTGTTATCAATGTTACACGCCCTATAAATCATAAAGTCAAAAATCGAAGTTTCGTTTCATTAATAAACAGTAATGTGGATTTCAACAGATTATTTTTCGAGAGTGAAATATCTACAATATATATGTTTATATACTCATGATAATTAGTCAGACTAATTAGACAAGATTGTACGGCCGTAAATCCATAAAAAAATTAATAAAATATCTAATTTACATCATTTTTCCTTTCTCGTTTTAATTTTTCTGTACTTATAGTTTCATGAATCAAAAACGTATGGTAAATAGCACATGTGCTAATGACAAACTGATTAGTAGAAGCTTTAAAAAACATTACATCTTCATTTTTATCAAACAAAGCCCTTAAGACAACTACTGTTGTTACATACTACTTATACCTACAAACATAAGTAGCATACACCGCAACATATAAACCTCAAACTGTTTTATTTTAGATAGTTAACTTTACCACTCAAAGCTTTCTGGGATAAAGTAAATCATTTTCTTTTTTCATTTGATATCAGTTTATGTGAGAAACTAATTTTGAAACATATAAAACCATTTCAACACTGAGAAAAAAGACAATCCATTCGCGTCGACTGCAGTGGGCTTTAAGTAGTATAAAACGGTCTAAGATGCTGAACAACAACAGTATAGTGAAACAAAATCATCAGGCTAATTATGCATCTCGTAAGCTTATGAAGATCTTCATATATATATTCAGTGTAGTAGTTGGGTTATAATCACATAAATATTATCTAATGAGAATATTGACAATATTGCTGGAGGGAGATTAGATATTTAAAATAACAAGAAAGTTTATCACATAAATGGGATACCTGATAACATTTATGATCATATTTCATGTTTTTAACGTCAAGAAATTGGTTTGTTAATAATGAATCCTTCTTTAGTCTGATAACCAATTAAATTAATAGTTTAGAGAAATTTTTATATCAGTTAAATACTTATCAAATGTTTTTCTGATAATTCACTGTTATTTAAAGAATATGTCCTCTGGTTTTACAAAAAGTGGGACAAATTGGTAAAGTATTTGATCATTTGAATAAATTCCATGATAAATTTCATTTCTAATATCAAAAGTACAAATGGAAACAAAAGAAAAAATGTGATGTGAAAGGACTTTCTTTTTAATGGTGTTTTTCTAGATGAAACATAGATCAAACTATGTGAAGATGAAGACAATAGATTCTTTTTACTGAATCAAATTCTTTCTTCAATACATAAATAATATTTCATAAATAAATTAACAAGTTAATATTAAACTGATAAGTTTTTTTAAAGTAAAATCAGTTATTTTGGTAAGACTATAATTTATGGATGAACTAATCACATTTAAGATAGCAGATCTTGGATTTTGGCACGAAATCTATTCACTCATTTGGTTAAATACCATTTTTGGCATTATAACCGATGTCGGTTCGTGAAGAAAACATTAAATCTAATTCCTAACCCTAATATTCAACTGTAAATCCTTATCTTAACTCCCTCATATTAATTTATAACCCTCATTTAATCCTGGTAAGTGAACATTCCAAGAACATTTTAGCATTGCTTGAAGGTCGACCATAAATTATAGTCTTACAGTTATTTTCTGTGATTTCTTTTAATGATTATTTAAAGAAAAGAAATTAATAATTTTTTCTTAATTCAACTTTGTTTTTGCTAAATTTACTTTAGAATTATGATCATTTTAATTCTAAAGGAAGACATCTGGGTTTAGAGGAAAATTCAGGGAATGACACCGAATTGATTTTGTCCTATGTACTTGACAAATTTATATTGGACTAATATGATGAAGAAAATCAGATTGGAGTTATATTTTATGTGAATATTACAAAAATAAATTGGTATCTAACAGAGATCATGTTTAATCTTAATTTATATATAATATATATTAGATATGGTGTACAAAAATGTAAAATGATGAGTTGAAAAATTCAAGAGACAAGAAAATCAGTAGACAGAATGAAGAAACACCGTAAAGAAAATGTAACAAATGGTTAAATAATGTTGGCATAAAATTTATTGTTTAAACAATAAAAGCTGGTTATTATTCGTCAATCTTGATTCAACCTTGACAAGAGGTTAATATCATGGCTTTTCTATTTTTAAATTTAAATAACAGTATATAACAATAATTGTTAGGTGATTTTATTTCTAATTTTTCATTATGAAAATATTCTCTCCTTGATAATTTTTTACTAGAATTGAATCATTCCAATATATACTTTCTAAGATGTACTAAGGTGATATGAAATATTCAACGTGGAAGGAAAATGAAATTAACTAATGTCATTTAAAATAACTGAACTTCACTGTTAATTTTTTTTATGTGATGATGTTACTTTAGAGAAAAACAATAACTAAGTCTTATGGTGTTATCATAAAAGAAATCAAATGAAGTTCATCGAGTAAACATATATAAAATAATTTACCAGTGAATCATTTGGTATACATAGATGATTATTATCTTCTAACGATGACTGCCGTATATTAATAACTGCTTTATTTTGAGAGTTTGTTGCAAGTTGTATATCTTCACGGTAAGTATTGAGAATTGAATCTGAATGATGATCTCTAGTATACTGTTCATATGAATTTTTATTGATGTAGTCGTTTGGTTTTACATGAAAACTTCGAGTTCTAACTAGTGATGAATGATTAGTCGCATCTGGCAGTGGTCGATGTTTCAATTTGTTGCATTTTATTCTATCATTTTGATGAAAAGTTGTCTAAATTAAAAAAATAAGTAAGAATCAACAAAAAGCAAAAAAAGAATCGATTTATATAGGTGATTCGATCGACTAGTTATTAGTCAACAGTGTAACAATGATATGATTGAAGTTAGACATTAACAACATTGGATGCCGGCTCAGTGGTCCAGTAGGTTAAACGTTGGCGCGCGAAACTGAAGGCCCTGGGTTCGAATCTTGCCGGCGGGATCGTGAATGCGCACTGCTGAGTCCCACAATAGGACGAAAAGGCCGTCCAGTGCTTCCAGGTTTTCAATAGTGGTCAAACATCAATCTGTTCATGATCTCAATCAACAATAGATGTATTGTACTTGATCACTAAGGTAAATATTATATCATAGTGCATAAATTACCATAAGATTATAAAAGACAGGCGAAGTTATTAGAAAGCTCATGAACTTAGATTTTCAAAAGTCAGTGAAAAGATTTGGATTTTAAACAAATCAAATTACATTTGCATCTATGGAGAAGTTTAGCCGAAATAATTGGCGACAAATCGAGAAATGCTTTGTCACTAATGCACCAAATTGTAAAAAATATCTTGGTGTCAAGGCTTACTTACTTACTTACTTACTTACGCCTGATACTCCCATTGGAGCATAGGCCACCGACCAGCATTCTCCAACCCACTCCGTCCTGGGCCTTCCTTTCTAGTTCTATCCAACTCTTGTTCATTTTTCTCATGTACATCTCCATTTCCTCTCCTCATTCGGCCTTGAGGATTCCATGTGAGGGCTTTTCTTGTGACTCAGTTCGGTGCTTTCCTCAATGTGTGTCCTTTCCTCTTCCAGCGCTTCTTCCTGATTTCTTCCTTCACTGGGATCTGGTTTGTTCCCTCACACAGTAGGTTGTTACTGATAGTGTACGGCCAACGGATCCGAAGTATTTTTCTCAGACAACTGTTAAAAAACACCTTTATCTTCTGGATAATGGCTTTCGTAGTTTTCCAGGTTTCCGCCCCATACAGTAGAACTGTCTTCACATTTGTATTGAAAATTCTGACCTTGGTGTTGGTTGCCAATTGTTTTGAGTTCCAGATGTTCTTCATTTGTAAATATGCTGCTCTTGCTTTGCCGATCCGTGCCTTCACATCTGCATCAGATCCACCGTGTTCATCGATGATACTGCCCAAATATGTAAAGGTTTTTACATCTTCCAAAGCTTCTCCGTCAATTGTGATTGGATTGGTGCATGCTGTGTTGTATTGGAGAATCTTGCTTTTCCCTTTGTGTATATTGAGACCTATTGCTGCTGAGGCTGCAGCTACACTGGTTGTCTTTTCCTGCATTTGTTGTTGTGTTTGCAATAGAAGAGACAGATCATCTGCGAAGTCTAGATCATCCAATTGCATCCTAGCTTTCCACTGTATCCCGTGCTTCCCTTCAGATGTTGATGTCTTCATGATCCAGTCGATCACCAGGAGAAAGAGAAAGGGTGAGAGTAAGCAACCTTGTCTGACACAGGTCTTTACTTCGAACGACTTTGTCAACTGTCCTCCATGCACGATTTTACAGTTTAATCCATCATAGGAATTCTGTATGAAATTGACTATCTTCTCAGGCACGCCGTAGTGTCGTAGAAGCTTCCATAACGTTGTTCTGTCTATGCTGTCAAATGCTTTTTCATAGTCAATGAAGTTGATGTAAAGCGATGAATTCCATTCAATTGATTCTTCCACAATGATCCGTAGAGTTACGATTTGGTTTGTACACGATCTATTCTTACGGAATCCTGCCTGTTGGTCGCGAAGTTGGGCGTCTATGGAGTCCTTCATCCTGTTTAACAATACCCTGTTGAGGACTTTTCCTGCTATTGAGAGAAGAGTGATTCCCCTGTAGTTATCACAGTTGTTGAGATAGACTTTTTTGGTATTTTGATCAGAAGTCCTTCTTTCCAGTCTTTTGGAACTTGTTTCTCATCTCAAATCTCATTAAAGAGTATGTAGAGTATCTTTGCAGTTACTTCTACATCTGCTTTCAGTGACTCTTCTGGAATTTTTTCTGGTCCTGCTGCTTTGCAACACTTGATTTGTCTGATGGCAATGATGATTTCTTCAATTGTTGGTGGGCCAACCTCGATTGGGAGGTCCGTGAATGCTGATCTGATGTTGGGTGGGTTCAGTGGGGCTGGTCGATTCAATAGTTCTTTGAAGTGTTCTACTCACCTGTTTCGTTGTTCTTCAATGCTGGCGATTATCTTGCCTTCCTTACTTTTCACTGATCGTTCTGGTTCCCGATAATTTCCAGCGCATTTCTTTATTGTATCATACAATCGTCTCACGTTTCCTTTTCTTGCAGCCTTTTACGTCGTCAGTGCTAAATCTTCCACATATTCACGTTTGTCGGTTCTGGTGCTCCTCTTCACTTGCTTGTTCACTTCTGTGTATTCAGCCTGTGCCTTGGCTTTTTCTGCTCTTGTTCGACTGGTATTGATTGCTGCCTTCTTGTTCCTCCTTTCTTGAATCTTATCCAGTGTATCGATCGTGATCCAATCCTTGTGATGGTGCTTCTTTTGGCCCAGAACCTCATGACATTTTGAAGTGATTGTCTCTTTTATCTCTTTTTTTCAGCTGCTCTTCATAGTAGTTCCTACTCCATTGAGTAGGTCATGAAAGGCCTGGAACTTATGGGTGAGGGCTATCTCGAATTAGTTGAGTTTGTCAGTATCTCGAAGAAGAGCCGTATTAAACTTTTGTGATATTGTCCTCTCTGTTGTCCAGTGCTTCTTAAGTTTCAATTTCACCTTGACGACCAGCAAGTGATGATCTGATGCTATATCAGCTTCTCTTTTGGTTCTCACGTCCTCCATCGTCTTCCTGAACTTTTTGTTGATGCACATATAGTCGATTTGGTTCTGTGTAGTGTTATCTGGTGAAGTCCATGTGGTTTTGTGGATGCGTTTATGTGGGAATATATTGTGCCGCCTATGACCAGTTTATTGAAGGCATATAGGTCTGCAAATCTCTTACCATTTTCGTTCTTTTCGCCCAGTCCATGTCGTCCTATGATGTCTTCATATCCGGTGTTGTCAATTCCAACCTTGGCATTTAAATCTCCCATCAGAATGGTCAGGTCCTTTGTTGGGCACTTCTCGTAGAATTGATCTTTAGCGTCTTCATTATATTCGTTGGTAGGCGCGTAGCGTTGGATGACGTTCATTGTAATGCCATCTTTCTTTGTTTTGAAGGAGGCTTTGATGACCCCTAGTCCATGAGATTCCTATCTTATAAGTGCGTTTTGTGCTTGTTTAGACAGCATCAATGCTACTCTTTGTGTATGTGGGGCATTTTCTTGTTCATGTTCGGAGTATAACAGCAGCTCCCCTGAAGCTAGTCGTTGTTGTCCGAATTGCGTCCAATGTATTTCACTGATCCCAAACACCTCTAGGTTGTATCTGCAGCAATTTGGAAAACTCTCCCAGTCTCCCACATTGTGCGAGCATTCCATGTACCTAAATAAATGGTTGCTCTGGTTGTCAGAAGGAGCATCGGCCTCGTAACTTCCGAAGGAACTCGGCTTTCATCATGGGGCGTCATAATTCTTCTAAACGAAGACCTTCTGACTCCCAGGGCAGAGTTTAAATGGTTTGAATAATTTTTCTGGTTAGCGTTTTTTTAGCGAGTTAGTTTTCTACGGGATGGGGTCGTTAAGCTCATTCCCATATATGAATCTGTCACAACTATTTCGAAACGTTCAGTCAATAAATTGAAATTTTTACTAGTAAAATAAGAAGTGTTAGTTTAATTCAAAAGAAATCAGAGTATTTTATTTAGTATAAAAATTATCTTTGATGTTATATAGTGACACAGACGTTTACTTGATATTCATAAATTTCATAATGTGAATACTACTTACCCAATTCAATCCAAAAACATCATATTCACTTGTAACAAGTGAATCACAATCTTCCCAGTATCCACTACTAGCGTTACTACTTGTAATCAGTTGATCTATTGAATAGAGATCTTTTCCAAATGTACTATTTCTAAGTTTATTCTTTTCAGTTGATCTACTTTTGGTTGGTGATAATGAATTGAATAATTCTATACTGTCTGAATCAATCATATGAAATTTCAAGTTTTTATCCATAAAAAACAAATATTTTTATTTTGCTAAAATCAAGAAAACGAATGGAAATGTTAACTGAAATAGTAAATAAACTGTCAATGTATGAATTAAATTCTGGAAAATAGAATTGAAAGGAAACATTCGAGTATCAAAATCAAAGGACTAACAAATGATAAGAGGAATCAGTGAACATGATATATAACTTGGTGGATTCCTTGAGTATTAAAGAGTTCCCAACAAAAAATTGTATTATCTAATACTACGTTAGACATTGAATATAATATAAAAACTGATTAGATTTGCCTGAGAATTCTTCAGCAACCGTGTTGAACCAACTATTCAATAATTCATTAGATTAGAAATTAATATGATGTCACTATTATTTAGAATAAAGTTGAACTATTTTGCTAGGGTGAAGACATCATTTTTATTTATTTAAACACACAAAAAGTATGAGGAGGCATCAAATATATGTGCACCACACAAATCATTCGATATGTGTGAGGTCTAGGATATTGCTCGTGTGCCCAAACCGAAGCAGGTGATTTTCTTAGTGAGTCACTCTCCGATCCGAGCCTTCGATTAGAGGTTTAGTCCACAAGGTAGTAGGGCAACGTTATAGATGCAGTCTCATAGTGGCTAGTGACCAACAATAGGTTCATACACAATTTGTTCCCTAAAGATCCCGTAGCCTATATGCACTATTGGTTTGGAGTCAGGGTTTTTCAACTTCTCTTGATGGATCCTCCATACCCACCAACCCGATCAAAGTGCCGGACATTTCCTTTTCGTTCTTTCAACTTCGTAAAGAAAACCCTCCCTCGCGAGAAGACCGTGAGTAGGAATTCTCTGACAGTGACTGCATACGCGTAATCATGTAAGGACATTTCGAGAGAAAGAGCGGACTCTTCCCACCCAAGTGCATTTGCGGGCTTCATAGTAATAATTCCTTATACTGTATCCCATTTATTTTAAATACATTATAGATAGAGTATAGATTTTCAATTGATTATGGCGAAACTATTTTACGGTATCTCACACCAACGTAAACACTAAATATAGGTACCCCGTTTTTTTCTGATGACAACTTACAAGCGTCGGTAGATAAAGTTAATTTTTAGTATATCAGAATCGTAAACTGATATTTTCAAAGAAAATACTACATCTATAATCTAATAAATAAAGTATATAAACCTATGATTTACCTGATATTTAAATCTTGAAATGAACATTTGTAGTTTAGCTGTATTTTTTAGATTTATAAGGATCATTACTAAGCTAAAACTATGAATAAACAATTATTTTCAGAATTATTAGTGAAAACATTTTCCCAAGGCACAAATTTTCACTCTACCAAATCCTTTATTCATAATAGCGTAAAAAATCACTTTATAACAGATAGAACTGTGGGAAAAATTACATACTGACAATTTTACAATCCAAATCAAGGAATGCCTTTAGATGTGTTTATACAATTTATACAGCTTAATTGATATAGGTAACGTATCACAAATATCTGAGATATATCTCAGTATTCCAGTGAATTATCACCACCTTAGAATTTAATTTTGTAGTTTCAGTAAAATGGAACTCAATAAATGAATCACTAATGAAAGTATTTAATAAGATCTGGTTAAAATTACATCAGTGTACAAGCTATAGTAACTTATGACTGCAATTTTCAGGAATAAAAATCAACCTTTGTTACCTTTTTACAGTGAATTAGTGGTCAACATGATAGAACCACTAGAACTTAAATATTTCAAAAATCCAACAATTTAATTAGGGAACTATTGTGTTATAGCAACTATCCTACAACCGATTTCGATTATGAATAATTTTGGTTAAGCCCTTTTATTAACTTACTTAACAGACAATGTTATTTGAACAGAAACAATTAGCATACTTTTTTGTACTATTATGATTATTAGATCACATTATGCTTTAGCTAGAAATGCTGATTGCTTAAATATCACTCGATGATTCATCCACCTCTTTATGTATATATGCACTCAAATTCTATTAATAGGCTTTGCTTTGCCTCGCTGTGTCCTTATGCAATTTGACTACAAATTTGCCTCTGTATTTTCTCGCATACACATATTCCCCTCTCTGCTTCAGATTCGCTCGATGTGCTTCTAGCTTTGTGATCTGCACTATCCGCTAATAAACTGTAGTTGATGCTTCTTGTTGCCTTCTGATTTCGAACGTCGTTGAAATTTATATAATAATGGTTATCAAAGTGATTGCTTAACGAAGCAAAGCCACTACAGAGCTAAGGAATTCCGGAAAAGACAAATATTCATATAACCTAAATCTTTTCTGTATAATAGAGGGATCATATTCTATGGAGCTATTTATTCAGCTGTCAGAATAATGGATACAAATCAAGAAGTTATAAGGTCGGTGAAACTAATCGAAAACATACGTTTTTAATAACATGAAATGACTAACCATACAATAAGCATTAAAAACATATCCATTTTAAATAATACGCTCTTAAATTGACCATCATTACAAATTGACTAAAGTTAGAATTATTGACTATTGTGTATTGTCTAGCTGATCTAAACGTATCATGCTCACAACTAAAATTCAAAGTCCTAGGTTTGATGCGATCTTAGATTATAAGTAGATTCTGTTGAAGAATCCGAAATTGGAATGAAACCACTATTCAGTGCCATCTAGTTTCAAATTGTTTGTTCTACCTGATATTTTTTCGTAAACAGCATTCATTAAGAAAAAAACTACAATACCCAGAGACTATGTAATCGTATGTTTGAGGCACTGAGTACAATATTTTCTCATAAAACCAAACCGAATTCTATAGTGAATTTAACATTATGACTTCAACATCTTTTCACTTACAAGAAAAAAAACCAGCCATTATTTTGGTTTCTAAAATAATCCCGTTGTAACTTTAAGCCCGACTTTTACCACGTGATTTATTCACTCTTGTACTATGCTGAAACCAATGCCATGCGAGCGGTAGAGTAGCCTACCGTCCCTTATTGGTCCTTTGCTCGCCTAGCCCGTCCAGTTGAGTCCAGAACACCAATAACTGATTCTACTATGCGAATCGATTATTTCAAACATACTTGGTTTGTATATCAGCCAGGCAGACCGCATCACACCATAAAATAGGAAATAACAATCGTACAAAATATAACCAAAGGTGGCTGAGAACGTGGGAGACAGTGATTAATTAACTGAGTATAGCACAAGAACAGTGAGTCGTACAATAATGATCTATATGACAAAATGGAGCTTATAATAAGATAAATATAGATATACACAATCTAGTCACTGAATAGTTATACAATATATATATATATATATATATATATATATATATATATATATATATATATAACATTAGTGCATTATTAGTTCCTGTAGTTACTCGTAATTTAATCTTCACTAAGATATAACAAATTCCAATACATTTTCTGTTTTTTTACTTTTTTGTAATAAAAATTTTGTTTATTTACCAAAATAAATTAATTGGGCTCATTAAAAATTTTTTTTTAATTTATTTTCCTTTATCTTTAATGTCCAATGTGTTTAACTTAGAAATAATAAATGTCATAACAATTTTACAATCAGTACCATATTTTTAACAATCTATCGGTTTATTCATTTTATTTGTTTTCATATAAAACAACTATAATTTGGACATTATATTATACTGTATTCATTTCAATCTTACTAGTCAGTGTATATACTGTACAAAATAATTCATAAACGAATCAGTTATTTATTACATAATACATAAAATAATGTCAGTCTTTTAAAAAGAAATTCCAGTGAAAATAAGTTTTGTACGGGTCGGTAATGCGCAAAGTTTTTCTTTTCTTTTACCGAAAATGTTTACCAACGTTAGTTAATCTAAATATTGGAAAGTTAATAAAACTATTTATTTTCAGAAGGGATTTTGTGGACATTTTAGAAATTTCACTAGTTGAAATCATGAGCTAGACTACTATGGAAAACCTGAAAGCACTGGATGGCCGTTTCGCCCTAGTATGGGACTCCTCAGTAGAGCGCTTCCACGATCCCGCCCTCCACGAGGTTCAAACCCAGGACCTATCAATCTCACGCCCGAACGCTTAACCGTCAGACCACTGAGCCGGCATCCGACGTTGTTAATGTCTAACTTCATTATTTACATTTTTTATTGAAGAGTCCCACCATTATAATCATCAGATTACTTTAGTAAATAATACATTATTCAATAGATAAATAAAGACATGGAAAGATAAAAATAAGTTAAAATATTCTATTTCTATTAAGAGTAAGAAAAAATTAAGTTTAAGATTGAAAAGGACTAGTTTTTAACTTATTTCTATGATTTATTTAACCATTATATGTTTTATGATAATTTTCTAATAGAATATTATAAAGATTGTCAAATTTGAAGTTTTTACATCATATACATTAATTTCGATAAAGGCATTATGTTATTAGCATAAACTGTCAGTCTGTAATCTGATAGTCTGAAGGTATTCAGCATGTTAGTTGACCTTAAGGTTACAATTTCGATCCCTTAAGGGTGATTAATGAACATTGATGAGGAGTCCCAAATTAGGATAAAACAGTACCATATGTTTCATTGATTTTCTAACGAAATGATTATCAGTATGAGGTTGTAGAGATTGTTTACATTTATTATGACCAAAAACCGATCTGTTAAACAATCACTAAAAACCTGGAAGAGCTAGTTTGTCATTTTGTTTGAGTGTGGGACTCCTCAGAAGTGCACTAACAAGAACTCAATAACCGGTAGTGGAGTCGTGGATGCGCACTGCTGTGAACTCTTACACTAGGATGAAACGATGTCCAGTACTTCTATGTTTCCATTTGTTATCTAACGGAGATCAATTCGTGGTTTCACGAAAACCTGCGTAATGAAACAATTTCCATAAGCCTGTAAGAAATGGAATTAGATTGGCTAAAAAGTACGTAGATTCAATTCATTTTACAACTGTTCTGGTTTCAAACATCAATAAAATTTGTCAAGAAGATAATAAAACTAATTCTTATA